ATGACCCAGAAGACGTTTGGACTCCTGTTGCATGACTCATTTTTGGCTCCTGATTTTGATAGCTCCCACCCATAGACTACACCTTTTTTATCATGCGCGTTATTGTTACTTTGCGTATTAGTTTGCGTATTTTTTTGAAAACTCATATGTGTTCATGTAAACAGGATAACATTAAGATGTAGGTTAAGAGGGGTTAGGGATAATAGTTTTTCTCACTTCCGTTCGCATCTAATAAAAGAACGTTATGAATATCATTATCGTGAAGAGTTTGTTCGAAAACTTTTCATCTATTTCACGCTCACCTGGGTAGTAACAAAGTTTCTCTTTTAATGCACAGTTCGGTTCCATAATCAGTTGGCTAACATACTGATCTGAATTGGAAAGTGATCAATTGAATTCTTATGGTATGTGACCTTGTTGGTTTTTTCGAATTTGTTAGTGACGAACATCTGAAAGCTTCGAAAATGTTTCCTGCAAAGTTTGATTCCTGAGATACTAAAGCCTAAGCCTAAGCCTAAGCCTTTATTTTATGCAAAATAGAAATAGTGTTCATACAAATATTTATTTAAGAATCTGCTTTTTGTTAATAGAATCTGATTTCATTGCAGGATTTGTGAGTAAACCATTAGGCGTAGTGGATCTCTAGAATTGAACAATAGAAACCTATTTTTATATGAACTTACATTTTTTTTATTTGATTCGAGTGCCTCTTCCACTTTTTTATACATCACTTCAGATACCTTTTTCATTGACTTATCAAAATGTGAAACCTAAATTTTTACTTGAATTTTAAAGTATGCTGTTTTACCTCGCTGAGTTTTAATAAGGATTGTTTCCCTTGTTGTCGAACATGTGGATTTCTGTCTTTAGCAAAGGAAATTAAATGTGGTAGTACCTAAACACATCCCTTTGCATATGCTTTCTCAACAACTACTCACATTAGAAAGATGGTCAGTATTTGATAGAAGCTGGCTTGTTCCAATCCTATTGATTAACTTATCCACGAATTGGGCGCATGCTGCTCGTATAGTATTGTTTTTCGAACTTTAAAGTCCAGATGGGTCAGAATTAAAACATGTTGAATGAAACCTTGATCCTGCATTCAGTATTGCTATCATAGCTTTGTAAGGACTAGAATAAGCCGCTAGCTTTTCTAGTGCCGCTGAAGCATCATCCCTGATGAAAGCATTAGATACATCTCCTGTTTTGTTCATAAGGATACTGGCACACTATTGAGAGAGTCAAATGTTTTTAGAACTTTCAGTTATTTACCTTATCCACTTCCGGATCCATCTTAGAGGCTAGACCTTGAAATAAGTTGCCTAAACAAGACAAAGCGACGCGTGAAACGCTGGATCTCAAATTCTTGCATTCCGATATAACGGCTTTAACAATCTAAGAACCAGCTAATAAGCTAAGCAAAAGAATGATTAAAACCTCTTTGATATGATCATGCAATAGTATTGAATTACTCGAAGCTAAACTGGAAATCGTTTGGAGACCTATCACCTTTTGAGCCCTTGTGAACAATTTGTTTTTATTTTAAGTTCAAAAATAACAAACCAGTCTTCATCAGTGATTGCTTCTATTGCTGTCTTCACAGAACTTAATTGTTTTTTTGTGTTTTCTCCAGGTTTCGATGGTGAAGGTTGCCGTTTAACCACAGTTTTAGCTCTATTTCCTCCACCGCATTTCAAGAAATTATGAGCTTTTTTACCGGGAGATGACATCTATTTACGTATTCCGAAAGTATTGACATTTACTACTTCAAGATTACCGTAGATTTTATGGATGCATGTGCGGATGGAGCCATGTTCAAGTTGTGGTGACTGTTACTCCTTGGAACTGTGACGTCATATATAGTGGAAGTATCTAAATTAAACCGATAAGCTCTGTGAAGAAAACTTCCATTTCATTGAAAAACCTAACTTACACCTAGTGTGCGATCTGGTTGACATCTTACTTTTATTGGGTAATTCAGAAAGCCTTTACAATTTCTTGCTTTCCAGGACTTTACGAATATAGTTTTGTTTCTTCTCAAGCTCTCTTCTCATCGCTTTACGCTACTTTGCTAAGCAACCAGAATGGCCACTCATACAGCTAAGCAACATTTCTGATTAGTCTTTTTGGGATGAAATACCATTTTTGGTACTAGTCATCGTTCCTTTGTGACTTATCGACTCGAGGTCGTGCGACAAGAATTAAATAATGTATTACCTGTTTTAGCTGATCTAATTGGAGCATCATCAAAGAAGGCTGGAGGTTGGTTTTCAACGTTTGAAGTGCTATTTGCTTTCTCTAAAGAGTCTTTCTAGAACAGTTGCATGATTGAAAAGTGTATAACATATAAAAGGTGGCACCTGAGCAAAGTTGTTTCTCACAATAGCGGCAGAAGCTGCTGAAAATTAATGATTTATATGAGAATATGTTTCCTACAAGATTGTTCAAGTGAAGCTCGTTTCTGATTTTTAATGAAATTAGTAGAAGACGGAGTAGGATCTGTCGAAAGCTCAATACAGCCTGCTCCGTCTTCCCAAAACCAGACTTGAGAAGTTATCGCCGTGGTGGCATGCTTTTTTCAAGCCTTTTCTTTTCAAGGATATTTCAAAACTTTTAAAAGTACTCACATCTGTCTTCGAGAGTGAGCGATACTTTTCGCCTGGGAGGTGTGTGCCAAGAGTTTGTACTAGAGTTCAAATTGATTTTATCTGTAAATAGTCTCATCAATTGATGTGTTGTGTGAAGAATTACAGCTCTCAAAGTTGCTCTGGTCGTTCTCGGTTGTTGGAGCTCGTCGAGGAAGACTTGCTATGCCTTTCAAATCAATTGCTGATACTGGGGATATAGCCCTGAATATTGCAATGTATATTGGTTTCACTGAATGACGCAAAACCTTTCGTGGTCTCCTGCTCCATGTAGAATGAAATGTAAGTCCATATTATCGTCTAGAACAAGTTGAGCTTCGTCAATCTTCAATGTCGATGATAAGTCAATGTTTATATGTTGTGTTTTCAAATTTGAACTAAAATCCTCACATCGAAAGAGTTATCTGACACTGGAGGAGTAGAGTATTCAATTAACCCATCATATCGAATTCTTGGAAGTAAGTGTCGGCGAATTCTAGCCTATAAGAAGTGAGCATAGAAAGTGACTGAAGATAGGAAGTTACTTGGACCGCTGTTGTCAAACCAGTACACGAACTTTTCTGTTCAGCTTCTCGTATCGCTTTCAAAAGTGAATCAACTTTTCCGTTCATTAAATAAGCGACAACGGAAATTTGTTCAAAAGCCGCTAATCTGAATACAAATCAGAGCAAACTACATTATTTATTACCAATGATTTACCTTACTCTACGTTTTGGATCTAGAAGCATTGGAACCAGAATGTTTATTATGGCGGTGAAATTGATTTTTGTAGCCGAAATAACCATTAGAGCTGAAGTAATTATATTCACCACCTAGAGCTACGTAAGATTCTGTATGATGCGTATTCAAAAACCTCTTCTCGAATGCGTGAATTCCTGTTCTCCAAAAAAACAGATAATGCTCCTATGACCGATTTGGGTTGTAAGTTTTGGAACAAATCCATACATGTCATCATGATCAGTTGCTTGATAACAGCTTTTTGATTTCCGAAATGTTTTGATAACAATGAAATAACTTGCTACAAGCATGGTTCGACATTGAGATTGTTAACAACAGAGGAAAAAACCTGCAGATGAGCATCAATATTGTTTTTCAAACGATTAACAGTGAGGCGAAGTACATCTAGAGAGAGAACAACAACCTAAACACATATTTGAATGCTATGCAGCTTGTGGTAACGAACTTTGAAATTTAAATCTGATAAAACATGACCCATAGTCATGAGATAGGAATGTAGATGAGGAACAAACTTTTGAATATCTTCGGCTCCAATTTTCTCAATAATCTGCTTTAGCTAAAAGAAAACTTTTTATTTTGTGAATATCAATCCTTGGCAACTTTTTCTAGTCCTGAGATTTTCTGTGAAGCATCTTCATCTGTGATCATTGCTGATATGAACATGGGCACTATGGCAAACCGGAAACGTCTTTCTTGAGAATATTTAGCGCTTATCCTTCCCAGTGAAGACGAAGATCCACCTCGCTCAACTTAACAATTATCTATTGTGAATTCTATGATAATTCAACTTACTCTCTACTTTTTCATTCTTCATAAGATATTCGAAACTTTGAAACTTTTTCTTTTCTGCGTCTGTTAGACTCTGTAAAATATGGGAGAAGCTATCCTTTCCAACAAAAACTGAAACGACTCTATTTTCAAGAGCGAGAGCAAGATCGGAATGGTACCTCGTAACTTCTGTAAAACATGAGCTACGCTTTCATTATCTTTGTCTGAGTGTGGAGTATAAGACAGCAGGGTTTGAAGTAGTAAAAAAAAATTAGACTGTGAGACCTAAAAACAAAAATGTGTATAGCGGATAACTATACTTCGCACCTCAGGTATGAACAACGAAGGAAGCTCAGAAATCACTTCGGACTTCAGAGTTTTGCTCTCTTTAGTTTGTATAAGAAAATATGTTACCATTTTCTAAAAAAACGAAAATGTGTACATTTGCAAATACTTTCCGATATACTAATAACGATCCTAAAGCAATGGGTTGAAATTTCAAATAGTTCTGTATTAATTGAATGGATGCTCGACGAACAGTTATTTTCGAAGATCCAAGCTTTGTGATGATGTTCGGCATCACATAGCACATGCAATACTCTAAACTCTGAACAAAAAGGTATATCCATTTATAATGATTGAACTTACACTTCCAAAAACAGGCATCGACTCAATTAAGAACTTAATACATTGATGCTGTACTTCCCATCTATCGTCAACCAGAATTCTATCCAAACTTTTAAAAAGATCTCCTTTTCTTTGAAACCTTGAGAACCATCCGGGATCCCGTTTACTTAGATTTGTTGCCCGGTTTAGAGTCTAACAAACATATAAAGAAACAGTAGAGAATACATACTTGTAGACGTGTGTCGAAGTCAGGAGATTTTAAAAGTTCAACCAAATCATCATCACGAGGCAGAACACCTGGAGACGGCAGCCTTTCTATACGTGCTCGTGAAGATAAGAAATCCATTTCACCAGCAGAAGTACTCTAAGTTGGAAACAGTAAGAAAAAACGCAGTTGAACTGTAAGATAAAAGAAAATAGAACATACTCAATGGATCTATCAAAGGCTTAGGAGGCCATGCTGAGGGTTGTCATGGCAACAACTGCGGAAAGCTAGCTGTTCCATAATAGTTGCCGATGAAAAGATGGTCATTCATTGAAGAACTCCTGACACAAAGTTTTAAAAAAATAATGTTTTATCAAGATTAAGCGAGGGAAGGAGACACATTTTTTTCGTTAAAAACAAAACAGTTTTCAAAGAGCGAAATAACTTGTGTTCGTCACATGTTCGTACAACCTAATGATGCGATCGCTTTTATTCTTTTGGATTCGTTGTTGTATGACTTTCTTTTAAGAAAAAATGCTCGTATATCCTTTGATAATTGTTTTATAGTGAGTTCATCTTACGGCTTCGATTACTAGAGGGACAGCCTCATTTCAATACTATTATGTTTCGAATGCTGTCTATCGATTGATATACGAGTAACTTTAGTTCAGAAAAACCTTGATGTATGACCTTCATGTAATAATAAGGACCATTCAATCGATAACTACATCTGTCTGACCTTTACTTGACTTGTTTGTAACTTATGGTTTCATATTTAGGATTTGGAGCTTCTTCATTCTTCGTGCTTTTTCGGTTCACAGTGTTTTCCACAAAGACAATGTAACAAAGTGAAAACGGCTGTTCTGCCAAATAATAACATTTCATTTCTCCAATCTGAATATCCTTATGGATCTCTCTATGTTACACTACATGAAGTTACTCTTAATTTAATATTATTACACTTTCTTTCGAGTAAATTTCCTACTTTTCGTTCAATAAATGTATCATTTCAAAGTACCATTGCTTTGTAAAAAAATTGAAAACGTTAATGATACGGCTTATAACGAGAATTTTGTTGTTAAACATATCACATTCTTTCAAAACACTCTCTAGGTAAGTATTGATGGTAGCTAATAACAACAAAGTTTTTTGTTCCAGTCGAAACGCTTCTCTCCTTTTTTGAGAGTTTTGGTCATGCTTTATACTCTGAGATTTTGATCATCCTTCGTGGCAGTTGCCGCATTTTTGCACATATATCCAATTTCATTCGTTTTTCTTTTGTGCCATTCCGTCTTTCACATCCAACATCTGAATTCTAAAATCTTTTCACTCTGCCTTATTAGATTTGCTAAAGATTTCTGGTAATTATGATTTAATCCTTCATCATTTATATCAAATTTGTCATCTTATCTTTCGTCATCGCTCTTTTCCAACTTGTTATTATTGCAACAAGTGTTTTCAAATTAACTTTCATTACTGACTGAAACTTATTTTGTGAATCGATTAACGTAAACTGTATCTCATAATATTTTTTTCAGGATGAGCATACCGTAGCCTTCGAACGGAATGACGGAAGAAGCTGAAAAATCAAATTGGACTAAACGTCTTTCAAAAACATTGAATAGGAGGTCCGCGTCATTTCTAGCTAATTTGATGGGACATCGAAAAAATGAGGAAGAATCAAGCACTGATGAAACTGCTTCCGTAAGAGAAGCAGACAAAAAGCGGAGAGCAAGTGCAGCAGCCGAAACTTTAATGACCACTGCACGAGAGGATAGAACTCGGCAGATCCAGGAAAGAAGACGTCGGAGAAGTGCTGATAAAATATATGCTCTGAAATCACGTCAGGTAAAATGAATTAATTCGGTCTTTATCATAAATGTGCATTATTAACTTCTTAAAAACGTTAATTCAACGACCTTATCACTAACACTATTATCATGGCCATTGGAACCAGATCCTATTTGAATTGAACATATTAATCTATCACGTCCCTCTTAGGTACTTTAATCTATTAGTCCAAACCTGTCCACCGAATTAGGACAATATTCTGAGAGAACATGCAAAAATAGTTTCTTATATATTTATATATGAAATTACCGATTATGTGGAAAGTTCGGAATATTTATGGACAGACGTGTAATCATTGTTCAGTTCCGTTTGCATGAGACATTCGAGAGTTTCATTATCTGGGGTGTATCCTCCAGCTGACGTTAGAAGATAGAATGATAAAGACGCATCAAAAAATCAAATGAATGATAAACGAAAATTTAAAATTAACGAGACAACTTACCAAGTGTATTGAAATATTGAAATCTAAACGTTCAATACGTATTTGGGCAGGGAACTACATTTGAGTTTGACCCAGTCAAACAGCATTTGATCAGTGTTTCTCTTATTCGATTGAATGACTAAAGCTTTTGAGAATCCCCGTATTACGCGTTATATATGACAGAAGTGAACAAACGCAGATATAGTACGTGAAAGAAGAGTGCATAGATGTGGACTGGTGTGCCTGAAGGTTAGAGAACGTAGAGTATACAGAGTGATCAGAGAAATAAAGTCCTTTCGCTGCGTAGCATCGACTGAATAACAATTCTCTAGCCGCTCGCTGGCCACCCGCAAACCTTCGTATTGATGTTAGACAATTTATGTGCTTTTTCTTCATATGTAGATCTGTATATGTATATATATCTATTAACGAATATTCTTATCATAACAGTAGTCGTCTAGTAATTGCACAAAAAATCAATCCTGACACGTCTAAACGCCGATTTATTGATTTGTTTGACCGAACATTAGTTTATCGATTTCTTTGACCAATCCTTAGTTTAACACTACGAAGCCATCTGATCCGCTATCTGCATCTTCAGTCTTTCATTTATATTCTCCCGAAAATGAAACATATCTTTGTCCTGATAAATATGTACCATATCTTCATTCCAAACAATTATAAAACTATCCTTCTCCATTCAGGAGCATGTAAACTTGCCTGTTACGGTAACGCAAAGTAAACGAAACAGTTCACCTCGAAACCCTACAGCGTCTGAAGTATCCAAGGTATCGTGAGCTGATATATATACCAGAGTACAATAATATATTAAGACTACAAATCAGGAGCCAAAAATGAGTCATGCAACAGGAGTCCAAACGTCTTCTGGGTCATCTTCTCGGTCACATCATCAGCCGGGAGGAAATTCAAGCGGAAGGTTGGTTGTCTCTACAGTGCCTCGCTAGACCTTAATTGCATGAACCGATTTCAGTACGTCCCATCATTCTTCCCATTTGAGACCGTCCTCAACAATGGGATCATCAAGCCGTTCGGGAGGTCGACGACCCGTAGAAGATCCGCACGTTGGAAAATATAAATTATTAAAAACAATTGGTAAAGGAAATTTCGCAAAGGTGAAAAAGGAATACACAGTATTGCAACCGAAGACTGTTTCAGGTTAAATTAGCAAAACATACCATTACGGGTCAAGAAGTCGCAATTAAAATTATAGACAAAACTGCCCTTAATCCCAGCAGTTTACAAAAGGTACGTTCTCCACATTTTCCCGCGCGTTATTAAGACGTCTCGTTTTAAAAACAATTCAACAAAAAAAAAACAAACGAAATTTCAATTTCATCGGAGAGAACTGAAAATGTCTTCAGTTATTTCGAGAAGTAAAGATAATGAAACAGTTGGATCATCCGAACATAGTAAAGCTCTATCAAGTGATGGAAACGGAACAAACATTGTATTTAGTCCTGGAATATGCCTCTGGCGGAGAGGTATAAGACTGCAGAAAAGTAAAAAAAAAACGAAAGTATCACTTAGGTGTTTGATTATCTGGTTGCTCATGGAAGAATGAAAGAGAAAGAAGCAAGAGCCAAGTTTCGGCAAATTGTTTCTGCTGTTCAATACCTTCATTCTAAAAACATCATCCACAGGTTGAGCTGTCTTATTACCTGACTTCATTTATGAATTCAGAGATTTGAAAGCAGAAAACCTACTTCTGGACAATGATATGAACATAAAAATTGCAGATTTCGGGTTTAGTAATCAGTTTTCGATAGGTTTATACGAATCTGTTTGTCTATCTTATACTGTTCTTAAGGTAATAAGTTGGATACTTTCTGCGGTTCTCCTCCATATGCTGCACCAGAACTCTTTCAAGGAAAGAAATATGACGGCCCTGAGGTTTGATTCATTAACGAGTTTGTCTAACTGTATCATTGATTGTTCAAGGTGGATGTGTGGAGCTTGGGAGTAATATTATACACACTGGTATCCGGTAGTCTTCCATTTGATGGCCAAAACTTGAAAGTAATATCTCTTGTTTTTTATTTGTACTTTAAACAATGAGTTGCAGGAATTGCGAGAAAGAGTCCTACGGGGGAAATATAGGATTCCATTCTATATGTCGACTGATTGCGAAAACCTTCTCAAAAAATTTTTGGTACTTAATCCTGCTCGACGAGGGACTCTTGAAACTATAATGAGAGATAGGTAAGAATGTTGTTTCGAGCACTGTTTATGAGATTGTGAATTGAAGATGGATGAACATTGGGTATGAAGATGATGAGTTGAAGCCATACATGGAACCCGCAAAAGATCAGATAGATGACACACGTATTGAAAAGCTCATTCAAGTAATATTAAGTACCACAGCCATAACCGTGATTTGTTTAGTTGGGTTTCAACAAAACTTCCGTTCTGGATGCTCTAGAGAAGGAAAAGTTTGATGATATTCACGCCACCTATCTCTTGTTGGGAGAGAGGAAAAACGATGTAAGTTGATGTGTTTGAAAGTTTGTGCCCTTTCATGCAATATTTTGATGTTAATAATAGGCTCTTTTCGTCGGAAAAATGTCTTTTATGGCTGAAATAACTGAAATCATCCGTCTAACAATTATTTGAAGCATGATTTTAATAATTTATCACCGCATGACATCTTACATCCATGTTCGCAGATGGATGCAAACGATCTTGCTTTGGCTCAACAACAGGTCACCCTGTCGACACATAATGTGTCTGCTGGCATTACATCCGGAATTCCTTCCGTTGTACAGTCGGTAAGAACACTTCTGATCTAACCCCTTGTTGTTTTTGTGTATGCTTTCTCTAACAAGTTCTTTCGTCTCTTTCCATTTCCCGGTCATGAAAACTTTTTTTAGCCTTCCAAATCTTCGAGAGCAACTACCCAGAACCCAACTTCTTTGACTTCTGCCAATCAGAGCAGTACCAGCAAATCTTCCTCAAGAAGAAGTAGTCAGAATGATGCATCAAGTCCTGGTCAGGCTGCAACTACACGTCAACCTGTCCAACTCCGTCAGACTCCCGGAAATCGAGCTCCCGTACCATCTGCTCCTTATGCTTACTCTCAAAGTATGTTCTTAATGTTTACGCTATGATTATTCATGATGTTTTCAGCCGGCAACACCGATGCCAACGTTAATAAAAGTAACACTCCTTATCTATTTAACAGAGGAGGGAATTCCTCCTCTGTGACTGTAAGTGGACGCAAAACGAGTGATCCGAAAGGTCGAGCTCTCTTAAATGCTAATATCAGAAATACAGGACAGAGAACAGAGTATGAACACCAGCTTGTTATACTAATCTATATATTTTGTTGAAGACCTTCTGGCGTAAGAATAAATGCATCATATCAAACAGGGGTGCCTGCTTCTGCCTCAATGGTCAGTAAGCTTCCTGCTCCTACCAATCATAGCAGTGCCACCCCGGCTTTGAAGTCTCCAGCCATCTTGGCTCAAAATACTAATCCGTTACAGGTATTTTTCTTTTTCTTTTTGTCTTGCAACAATTTTATTTTTCTCAGAAATCTGGATCTCAGATTTCTCATGCTCCTACTGAGCCTGTTATTAAAGAAGAAGTTAATGAAAATAACGAGTTGCCTTCCGCTAGTGCTGACCAGAGTTCTGCTCCTCATCTGGGGGGTATGAATCGTTCGAATGAGGCAATCACCGAGAGTCAAGGAGCAAAAGAGAGCAGGTTGGTTTGGAATTTTGATTTGAATAACATTAGATGAAATTTATTTAATGATTTAGACCTTCCACATTACATCAAAGTCCTTCAATGCCTCCTTCAATCATAAAAGCAATGGGAGAATTGGCAAATCAACAGGATGCCCAGAAAATGACAAAGTCGACAACAACTCCTCTTAATCAACCAACACAAGCAATTAACCAGGTGAGCACATATTTGATCTGTTTATGCGGTTTTTCACACCCAATTCCACCTTTAGTATATTAAAAGAAAAGGATTTCGTGGGAAAGCCTTTGTAAAATCTTGTGTAGTGAGTTATACGCACGTAATTGTAGTTCTTGCCTCTGTGGCTTCTCCGCCTTTTTTCTGTTTTTTTTCGTCAGCTTTGTTTAGCAGCACGATCTATTCCAAGACGAAACCATAAACAGTTTTTTCAGCAATATCCTGCTAGTGAATTGGTTCAGTCATCAATTCCATCGGAGCGAATCCCATCTTCTAACACAGCTTTTCCTCGAAACACGAGGAACCGCCAAACATTTCACGGAAAAACCGACTATGCAAAGGTTTGTGTTGATGGTTCGCGCAAAGTTTTTTGACTGTCTGATCACTCACAGAATGCCGCCGATGACGAAGAAGATGAAGTAGAACAAACCGTTGCTAATCAGTCGATGGGTAATGGTCAGAAGGGTGGATTTTTCTTGAATAAACTAAGTAAATTGGCCAGACGGTAAGTGTATTAACAAGGTTTTCTAACTTTTCGTTTCGTTTAACATGATAACATTTCCACTCCTTAACACTTGCTTATTCGGGACGGTGATGGCTGACACATGAAATAATAGCAAAGTTTTTCCCTTCTTGCGATGCATGATCTTTTTAGTAGCAGCACGGCTTGTGCCCCTATCGTAGTCCCTGAAGTTCCCCGTCGTCCATTACATCATTCAATTTCTTTGACTTCTTCGCCTTATCGGCATCGCTCCGATTACAGTCCTTCTGCTGTTAGCCATCACTATCCCGGAGGAGCTGCAGGTTTACCACCACCATATGCTGTTTCTCGTAGGGGGCCCAATAGTGACGTACAAAATGTTGGTCCACCAAATTCCGCTGGACGTGCAGGCACGATAGGTCCTTCTGCTGGTGCTCCAATTGCAAACGCTTTGTCACAAATTCGGGAAAGCCAGCAACCACCCACTAGCCCGCAAACTGCAGCTGTTCCATATAGAGACGAAGAAATAAAGCCTAGAAGTTTGAGATTTACATGGAGCATGAAAACAACTAGCAGCTTAGCTCCTGACGAGATAATGAAGTTTGTTTATACGTGTGTTCGTTCTCTATTGACTCGTTTTGCAGAGAAATTAGGAAAGTTCTTGATTCGAACAATTGTGATTATGAACAAAGAGAACGATATTTAATACTTTGCGTGCATGGAGACCCGAATGCAGACTCGTTGGTTCAGTGGGAGATGGAGGTGAGTATTTGGTTTGTTGTAGCTCAAGTAAACGTGGCTTTCAGGTGTGTAAGCTGCCGCGATTGAGTCTGAATGGGGTGAGGTTCAAACGAATTTCTGGAACTTCAATCGGTTTCAAGAATATTGCCTCAAAGATAGCACAAGAACTGAATCTGTAAAAAGAAACTGCTCATATTCAAGTTACGACATGCTCGAATGAAGCTAATTCTGCATTTCAAACTTAGCTTTTTGTTTTTTTTGTTTTTTCCTTTCGCGAATGTCTGATTTTGGTATTACCTTGTCACCAAAAAGAAGTGAACTGATTAGTGAACTTGGTTTTCGTTTTTTTTTACTTTTTTTGCACTAGTCCAGTAATCAGTATAGTGATTCATCGCTTTACTTATTGGTATTTAATTTGTCAGCGATTTACGCCCAGTACTGTGATTGTTCTTCTTCTATAGCGTGTATAATGTCATTCTATGAATTCATAACGTCTTTTAGTAATTAATTTGAATGTTTGTGCGATGCTATAACTTTATTGTTTTTTTTCTCTTATATTTAATTATACACGATTATTTTCGAACTAAACTTTGGGATGTATTACCATAATAACACCACACATTTCATTAAATTCTAAGCAATTGTATGTTATCATTCCTAATACGCTGACATATTCGCAAATCACGAATATCTCGTATCCTGAATTTCCCAATTACAACATTTTCTTAGAGTCATTGGGTACTTACCGTATCGGATACAATAGAGTTGATAAGTTGTGAAACTGGAGAAAAGAAGAGCCATTTGCATTAGTGAAAAAACAATTATTTTCTGTCGCACATTGTGAACGGTCTGTGACATTGTAAGATAGATTCACTTTTCCAGCAGATCTTACCTTTACAGAGGATGTTTCGCTCTTTCTCATTATTAACCAATGACTAATCATATATGAATGTGTGAAAATAGCAAATAAACAGAAAAATACAACATGCAGAACTTGAGTTGGTAAAATCAGAATATTTCACATCATTCTCACTCACCTCCGCTTTCCCTTTCACCAATTAAACCAAGCAATATGAGAAAAATCAACGACAGGCCTCCAAATACAGGCATGAAAGCTCTGCATGTTCTATACTTAGCATCTCTCAAGAGCAATGTTCTTCCTGTGTAAAGCCCTGCAAACAAAAGCACTGTCAATAGAGCTAATAACCCTTCTTGATACAATTCATGAACAGAGTCGAAATCCTTAATGGCGTATAAATGAAGATCGCCATTTGAAAAACTATACGTTCAGTTGGAAGGTTTATAACCCGTGAAACTGAGGGCAAAAAAACATTCTAAGAAGAGATGAAACAATTAAACTTTCTCTAAGTAAGAACGTACATCACATAGCCATTCGTAATTATATAATAAGTGATGATGAATTGAATATCCTATTACGAAGGCCGAAAACAAGGAAGTTATAAGTAACAAATAGCTGGTAATAGCGACAAATCTCATAGAAATGAGGCTGATGATACGATGTTCAGAATTTGATGATGTCTGGCCAGTCTCCATTTAGATTGAAGTAGAATGAATATCAATGTAAGAAAACTATATGAGATAAATTCTGTGCTTAGTATGTGACACTATGATACACCTTATTATGCAGTTGCTTAGTTTTTGTCGCCTCAAGGACATTTCTAGTTGGGTGTCTTGTTTGTGCTTATATGGTTTTGCCGTTTATCATTTATCAATTTATTAGATGTCGTTGTCTCACTTTTTCTTCAAAAAAAATAACGAGATCCATCATATGCTAATGAGAGACATGCCGTGCTACTTTCATTTTCTGTTCTACACATCTCTTCATTTTACTCGTAGCTTGGACGAAGAGCGGTTGCGCATAAGGTAAGTTTGGTTTTAAACCGACATGTTTTGAAGCAATGGGTTGTATCCAGAATTTGGTATAACCGTTTCTAGATAGCTTTTTTCCTATCCATGTCACACTTCGCCACCTTCAGCATATTCTTGTTGATATTATTCATCAAACATGATAAAATTGTCTTCATTGATTTATTATCTTCCTGTTTTGAGTTTTTTCAGGAGAAGATGTTACCAAATGTTTTCTTCAAACCTTTTCTTTACCATATGTTACTCAAAAACATTTATTTCTTCGGAAATTGTTGAGATTTTTACATTTCCTACAATAGTTTGTAATTTTTTTCCCATTCAAAAACAACCGATAATCGAGCTTTGCCAACGTTGTAAACTCGAGAAATTCACTGCGACACCCGACAAGAGACGTATTCGACCTTCGTCATACTGATTCGAGATGATTGATGATAGCTATTTTCTAAAGATAAAGTGGTTACTATTGCTGAACCGCGAATTTAATCAGTAAGATGCTCAATAGTTTTCAGAAGTATTTAATATGAAATAGAAAAACAGAAATTATTTGAGCAGACTTTTGATGAGCTTTCAATAATTTCATTATTTCATGGGAAGATGCTTTGGATGAAGTCAGGGAAATGCAAAGCTTAAAAAGGATAAATTGTCCTGAAAGCTTTGACCGGATGTTTGATGTTCATTTCGAACATATCATTCTAAGACTATCAATCAAAATGAATAGTATTCATGAAGATCTCGCTCAGATAAATGCTAGTATGGAGAAGAACAGATGTCTCTTTCTTGAATAAGACTGTCGATTTGCTTAAATTGAAACCCCAAAACATACAAAAGAAAAGCACCATGATGTAAGAGAAACAGCTAGTTCTTGTTCTTTCTCCAAGTTTATTCGTCTTTTCATCTTTTCACTCTCATACCAATTGCCTCTTCTTGTGCTAAGGTAGTCGAAAACCGCTATTCTTTCTTCTTCTCTACTACTTTATGCAAATACCAACATTTTTTCCTTTTCATTCTCAATCCATTCTGATGCCAAAGAATATCAGACGGGTTTTTTTCCCGATTCCTCTCTTTCCATCCATATCATAGTTTCATTTCCTCTGGAAGCTCGTCATTAAGGATCGTTGAAAAAGCGTTTATGTGATTCTAACGCTTCTATGAAGTGCGTATTCAAATGTTTATTCGATCTGTTCCTTCAATTTCATATATTCTCGACTGAATATCAAATTTCGCGCTTCTTTCTGTTTCAAATACTGGTTCTTCTATTCAATATTTTTCTTATTAACATGTTTTAACACTTTCCCTTATCAATGAGTGAACTCCAATCCCTCGGCCAATCTTCTAACGCCAAATCGAAAGTTTCGAACGCTTCCTAACAAAAAATTCAAGACTTGGAAAGATAGAAACCGATGTCAGTGATAGTGGAGATGTTTTTTCCGGAGAAACAAGACCGACAGACAGTCAGCCGGTTGTCTTCCTACTCCGAAACGCGTCAAGTGTGTCGTCTTCTGTCTTTCTTGCTGTTCCCTGTTTCCGAGGGCAAATAAAGACAACAGAAAAAAGACACAATAGTCAAGTCAACATGCTTGTTTGGCCAACAACAACAAAGTTTCCTCTGAATTTTGATTTATTTTTTTATCGTTCATAACCTCTCTGAGTGCCGAAGTTGATCGGTTGGAAATGAGTTGTTACTTCGCATTCGGAATTACCCCAGTTAACTTCCAGCAGTCTTTTTCTAACTATTCACTCCTTTTGTAATCTTCAACACACCCTGTTTTCCTCATTGTTGTTTTTCTCTCCTTTTTCCTTCTTTTTTTTTGCTCCTCTTTTTGTAATTCCTAGATGTTCTGAAAGATTCTCTGCTCGACTCACCGTTTTCTCTAACTACTCGATCTTTCTTTCACTTTTTTACTTTCCTTTGTTGCTGTTTGTTGTATTCTCTGTAAAACTATCTGTCTAAGTTTGTCAAGGAATGACCTTAAAGGTTTTCCTCTTGTAACATACATTATTTTGCTTGTCGAACAACAAACGCTGCTTAAGAAGAAAAAAGTTTCATTGCCATTCTCTATTTGAGGAAGTTATTAGATGTCATTTGGCAATCAGTTCTCAAACTATGTCACCTCCTATTAAACACGCTCATCCTCACTAGTATTGTCCCACACAAGTGCATAGATAGACGACCCTAATTTACTCAACTTCCATCGGCTTGTTCTTGTCAATTTTTGAACTATTCTGTCCGTTTCGTTTACGGCATTCTACTAGTTATTGTCAACTTTTTGTATTGTTTCATAGAAAGTTCGTTCCCCATTTAACCCGAACTAGATACTTCAATCATAGACGAAAAAAAAATTCCTACCTTCATGGGATTTTTGTTCATCGAAAACCACGTTTGACTTTCCCATTTCGCAAAACTTTTGTTCATTCCTGACTTGCTCTTTCATTTCGAGGTACTTTCTGTTTGCACAAAAAGGTTTCGAATTGTAGTCAACGCATTTTTCTTCATGTTTCATCAGAACTACAAAGAAATCGTGAAATATTTATGACAAATTGAGATAAAGAACTATTTTCTTCATCAAACTAATTAATATTAACCGTCTTCAATATTATAATTTGATGTTTGAAACAGTTACAGATATGTTTTTAACTATTTGACAACAATGAAAAGTCGAAGATGTTTCTCATTGAACTGGTTTAAAGCACATTATCATCGTCTTTCTTCATACAACTAAACTTTCCTTAAGAGTATATAATTTGATGAATTGCAATATGTCTATGTGTATATTCTTTAATAATAAAGGCAACAAAGATTTGAAATTTCTTAATTATGCCAATCCTTCAACGACAAAACGAACAACATATGCTTGCCGATTGTTGTCAGAGATTTTAGCCTCGTAAAGCCCCATGTTCTTGAGCATTTCGCTATTTAAAGAGAAAAGAATACATTTTTATATATTTTATTTAGTTGCTATATTTGGTACTACGTTCAGCCTGTGTTGATGTATTTTCAGATGAAAACACACAATCAACGAGGCCCACGGGAGTCTTCCCTCTTTCATCAACTTTTTTTTTCAACTTGTAAGGGCTTTTTGAAGTAGTTCCATATATTATGCTAGCCATTTTTTATGACATTTTTCTTCCTATATGTCCGTTTTAGCTTTCTTAACCGCTTCACAAACAAAACAACATGAGAAGTGCCATCTCTTCGTCTTTTTTAAAACATTGATGCTGTTGTTTTTTTTCGATTATTTCGTTGTACTTCAGAAACCTTAAGGTACAACTTGGCCGCATTTTTAGCACATGAACACCGAATTCTAATGCGGCTGTTGCAATATTTACTTCTGATCGCATTCTGTCAGATCTCTCACTTGAAACGGCATCATCACTTATACAAAGGACGAAAATATGACTTGACCTTATTTATAAGGTAACATTGATTAAAATGAAAGTTCATGCTGCAAAGCTTTCCAGAAACCACAATGTTAGTGACGCTACCTTTTTCCGTTTAGTCGGAGTAGATAATACAGCTGATTTCAATGTTACTGCCGGTAACACCTTTGAGCACACCTTTGAGGTGATTGCTTCATTTCATCATCCACTCTACATTTGTGGAAGCTGTGTTAATGCAAAGATATTTTTAGGTCCGTCGAAAAGGATATTGGACCTTGTTTGTAGAATTTCCGGGAGACCGATATGCGAAATCTCCGCGTAAGGTAATATAGCAATGAACTTAATGATCAAACTTGAGGATGTTACTTTCAGATAATTTCAAGAGATTCTTATAGGAAATGGGTAATGGAAGTTTATTATTACCCGGGTGCAGTAGGGTTCAGCGAGTGGCATAAGCTGAGCAGAAAGAGAGAAGCTCGTTTGTTGGAGAAGCACTAATGAAACTAATTGGATGAATTTATAAAATAATCAAAACTAAAATTTGCTCTGGATGGCATTGTAAAATAGTCTTTCATATTCGGAAACATCAAATATTTAGAGATATCATAGGTTCAGTTGACTATTATGAAAGCACTTAAAATAGAAAACGATTATTGAAAAAGGTGATTCCAGTAGAAATATTTATCTTATGTATAATTTTATTTGAGCTTTACCACACTAATTGGAGAATTTAATAAAGTTTTATGAAAACGAGTATTTGTGTTAGTCGTATATGCAAGATTTCAAGTTTGTCAGAAGAAATTGGGATGTATCTCCCCTCTCAATCCCGGTATTCATCCCATCAAATAAAAAATTTCATATAACCCTATTACATTTCAAATAAATCAATAATCTTCTCCAAGAACGCAAAAGAAGGAGCATTTCATTTATACAAACAACAAGAAGTAATATATATCCATATATAGTATACAGCCCGATTTAGTCGTTTTTTCGTTAAAGGTCTAAAGGATCTGACTCTCGAAACGATTAACAACCTTTTTCATATACCGGCGTGTTCGAATATAACTATGCAGTGGTAATTATCTAAATGGTATGCATAATATCAAGATTATGAGCTCCAGTTGGAGGACGTCGGTAAGATTAGTGGAAGGAGAATTTATGAATCATTTGCTTGTCAGGTAATCTCGGAGCTATGGGACTTCGAAGGCTCAAGCACTGAAATTGACTTCTTCTTCCGACAATGTTTAATGGAAAAAAAACAGTCTAAAGAGGAATATCAGAGCCTAGCAGGTCGGAAATCTTGTAAAAGTCTTCCAATTTTTTGATTTAGCTGATTTGATGAATGCTGCCACCATGCCAATACTTCCTGATAAGAAGCTTTTGAGTTGTTTGAGCACGCTAGTTCGTGCTAAGGTAAAGGTGGTTAAACAGTCCAACAGTAACAGTTTATGTTCAGCTCTTAAGTCATTCGGACTTAATAAACACAGTTGTAAAATTCAATAACATTAGTAAAATAGAAAGTTCTAAAGCTTTAGTTGGGTTAATCGACTACGAAAGAAAAGAAATATCGTGAGTTCCTTCGGGAGACATGTATCATTCAGATGTTTCAGGTGTTCTTTCAACGATCAAACTGCATGTGATAATTTAATAAATTCTTGTTACTCTTTACTCAAATGGCTTGTAAATCTACTGAATGTGAGTCATACGTGATGGAGTAAGCTTTATCTTCATTCTTCCAGGAATACATGAATGAGGAATGTGATAAACCATTCTGCTGTGAAATCATCGATCTTGTTAATAATATAATTAACGATAAGTTTTTTTTCCACTCAATTAAGCTTTCACTCAATGATCACGAAGGTTTGAAAAAAACAGTTTTCTAACTTAGCAAGCTTTATGTTTGTTCAGAAAAATTCAAGAATGATATTTTGAAAGTGGTCGAAGAACTCAAAGAATCTTTTGAAGATGAATATCCTCAGCTATTGCAACTTAATGATTTCTTACAAGTGTGAGTAATTCTGCAACTTTCTCATTACAATCACTCGTGTATTATAGTTTTCTCATACCATTGAAGTTTGAGTCCAATGACATCATATTGGAGCTGTGCAAGAAGCAGGTTTTTCTTCTACGTTGTTCCAATATAATCAAATTCGCAGAATCGCTCGGGTATCAAAAGCTTGACTGCCATATTCATGACTCAAAGAACACTAACCCCCGTTGTTGAAGTTGCCGAAACGGTATCACAGATAAAGCTCGTTTGTTTCAGTATATTTGTTTGTTTAGTTCATAAACTTCTCATCCATCTTTGAATATACTGAGGAACAATTACTTTCTGATTTTTTTCAAGCTGCCGTACTAATCATGGTGAGAAGCTTTACCTTTTCTAGTTGGATCACCACGGTTTTACTTTTCTAGTTGGATCATCAAAATAGCCGACACGACTTCCGCGTGCTAGGATTACAGTTCTTTTTCGGTAAAATTCCAAAAATCTTGAAGGTATGTTTGCTGAAAGGTTCCTTATCAACAAATTATTCTTAGCATTTCATCAAACTCGAGTACGTCAGTAATTCAATTCTGGAAAAAAGTCTCAAGTACTTGATAGAAATGTTCAATGAGGTATCAATCTCTGGAACTCCTACTTCAATTGTTTTCAATATTCAGGAACTCGATCAGTTAGATACAATTTTCAAAGAAAATTTGATGAGAAGGTTTCTTGATGGTTTAGGAATCTTACATGATCAGCAAAAACGAGCATTGAATGAGCTGAGGTTTGCAAACTGATTCTTAAAATTCAAAAACCTATTATCAGAGATGCTCAAATAAAAGCTAATGTAGAACTCAATAAGAGAATAGTAATGAATCCGGAAGAAAACAAGCCTCTCAATACTATTCTGAAGGGTAGCGGTTTGCGAGCTTCAGTTGAAAAGATTTGGGATTTCAAGGTTTGAAAGCTTTTTTGTTCTGTAAATGATAGTTGTTACCAGGAAAAATTGGATATGATGGTTCCCAAATTATATGGAACTCATGGAATTCTTCTGGATTCTATTATAGGTTCTTATTGCGCTGGGGGGAATGTTACAGAGCTTTCTAGGAAACTAGCATCGTGAGTTTGTGGAGTGTTATGTAATATAACGATCTTCTGAAGATACTGCAAAGAAGCTGAAAAAGAGGTACTATCTTCTGAACGAGCTCGATTGTTCGATGGATATTACGTGTGCTTGATGAGGTTATCTATTTTCTACCCCTGCGTGGTTCGTTACTCACCTCAGTATATTACAAAAGTTCATTTTCTGCAGAAATTGGAAGAGATTGTGTCAGGAGCTGATACAAACTCTCCTGAAAATAAAAAAGGCGTGTTGTAAGTTTGTTGAAATCATCAAACATTTAATGTTCTGTTTAGTTATCGTTGGTGTAATAACTTTGTCCTACCTAAAAAAGAAGAAAACTCAAAATCCGCTCAGGTTTGTTTGAAAAATCTGTAAAGGTATCTAGTAGTATGTAGGACTTTCCTTCGGTTTCCGATGATCAGAAGAGGGAGTTCAAAGAAAGAATTCTTCATCTGCAGGATGGTGAACCGTTTTGGAACGAGCAAACGTAGGAGTTACATATTCTCAATGTTTTGTATTGTTTTTTTCAGACAAACAAGCAGGGATATTATCGAAATGATCCCATTAATCGGAAGCGTTCTGCTCGATTTCTGCAGGGACAAGCGTTCAGAAACAGAATACTTGCACAATGCCTTTAAAGTTCTTAAAAACTCGTTGATTTTTAAATTTGAAGAATTATAGAACGTTGTCTCCTGCTTTCGTCATGTTGCTTCTTCGATGATATGTTTATCACAATGGCTAGAGAATCAGGTTTTTTATATTTCATCAATTAAGTTTATCAATGTTTATTTAGGAATCGAATGACATTCGAAGAACGATGGGCATTTGTGTTTTGCAAGGAATCGAAGAACAGTATAAATGGATCCCAAAAGAAACAGCCGAGAACTCTATGTTAGTTTGAGGTTCCTGGAGCAACAAATATTTTTTTTCAGATGGCCTGTCATTCGCAACATATGCAATTACTACTTGAGTGACATATGCAATCCTGTTTTGCCCCATCCTCTCTCCATCACATTGAAATCCATAGCTATCAGAAGTTTCCCAAATTGTTCACGTTTGCAGGTGTGTAAAGAGTTCACTGCTGAAGCATACTCATGTTCCAGGTTCCCGATCCTAATATATTGAAAGATGTATGGCTTTATGCTCAACGACAGAATTGGTTTAACCACAAGACTCTATCTTTGATAGATCGTTGTAATCAAGCTGAAGATCATAGGACCTGGATTAGGGTAATTGGGTCGTTTCAGTTATGATAGTAACTTCTTTCCTAGTTTTTCATTAATTATTTGATGAGATTAATGGCTCAGGATGTAATGGCGAAAGCATTGGAGTTTATCTGTGCTATCCTTTTGCTTGATCCTATCAATTCCATTCTTATTATTCTCGAGGTGGTTTCCAGACTTCAACTTGTAAACACATTTCTCTTCAGCTTCTATTCGAGTACCTGCTTCAAATTGAGAAAAGCCCGGACGAATTAGAAGAAAGTGATAAATCATCTTTCAAAAAGCCTAAAGGTCACGATCATGCTGTGGATGGATCAGGCATTCAACATGAAGCTCCTCATGTTTTGCCTCTCGTCAAGCTGACGGTTCAGGTTCTCTGGGAACGAGAATTGAAAAATATTTTTGAAAACTTTCAGGTTATGTTAATAGGAGTATGGCTAGTGGATTTCAAAAAAGGTTTTAATAAAAAAGAAATAGAAAGTGAACCTGATATGAAACGATTGAAAACTGAAAGCGATATGGAAACTAGTAAGATGTACCAAAAAGATTTCAAACAAACGACTGCCATTCAAGGGGATGCTCAATTAGATTTAATCCTTCCTACAATTAGAAAATGCATCCAACACATGAACAAGGAAGTTAAACAGGGTTTTCCGCTTTTCAAAAAGAGAAAAAGATCAATAGACAAGTTTCAGGCATATTCACTCCTGCTGTCTCGGCTGTAATGCACATTGTGAAAAACATAGCAGCCTCTTCAAATAATAGGTGCAAAGACATATTATTAACACTGATTCCTCCAGATTTAGTAATAAGAAGAGATACTCGTATCATTCCAATAAAATTTCTATTTAAGGTTTTTCGAATGGGCCTAGCTGATCCTTGCTTTGTGCCATTTGAAATGTTTCAAACATTTTGTGATCCTAAAAACTTTGAACATTCACAAAAGCGTGTTCGGTTTTTATGTATGTTACGGACCGCTGGCGCTTTATAACTACGATCGATCTCATCTTAATGAAATGTATTATCCATTGATTAAATAAACTATTTACATTATAGGAAACATTTCTTCAATAAGATACGTGATAAAGTGTGTCCCACAAGTCGCTTTTTGCCCAACTCAGCTTAGCTCACTCATCATTGATTTTGGCCGGCAGTCAGAGAAATTTTATGTTTCGCACGTACACTGCCATCTCACAAGCTTCCACTTCCTAGTCAAGAGCTCAACATTCTTCTATTTTCAACTTATGTTTTTTCTACGTTCTCGACAATATTATTTTTTTTCCAACAAAAGTGCTAAAATCTTATCTTGACCATAATGATTAAAAAGTTGCTGATAACACGAATCTCAGGAAAGGTTTTATTCTCAAAGCTTTGTCCAACTGTCCACTTCACTCGCACCTTCCTAATATCGAAATTCATTTTTCAATCAAATCCATGTTTGATTTTCAAACTTAGTTTTGAAGCTGTCTAGTTTGAGCTGATCAAAGTACAATCAGATGTTACCCAAAGAATTTCGCGGTTGTTTTCGCTTTGCTTTTTATTGATTCTTCTTAGTATCGTATGTTTTCTCTGTCGTTGTGTATCACTATCAGCTATCTTCTCTTGTTCTACGAAGATATTGTCATTTTAAAAGTATTCAGACGACGATGCTGAGCGACCACGACCGTCGAAAGCAAATTAGCGTCCGCGGTATTGCTCAAGTTGAGAATGTAAGCAATATCAAGAAAGCTTTCAACCGTCACCTCCACTTCTCTATTATCAAGGTTCTGCATTTTTTCTAAATTTTTTTTTAAAGAGCCGTTTTCTAGGATCGTAATGTTGCTACAGCCCGTGATTATTACTTCGCTTTAGCTAATACCGTCAGAGATCACCTTGTAAGCAGATGGATCAGAACTCAACAACATTACTATGAGAAAGATCCCAAGGTATATAGGTATTGATGTGAAAGTTTAATCACTTAGCTTTAACAGAGAGTTTACTACCTTTCTCTTGAATTCTATATGGGCCGTACACTTTCCAACACAATGATGAATTTGGGTCTTCAAGCCACTGTGGATGAGGCTCTCTATCAAGTAATTGATATTAGCTTGTTTTCTTTGAAAAGTATACTCTCCAGCTTGGCCTTGATATTGAAGAATTGCAAGAAATCGAGGAAGATGCTGGATTGGGAAATGGAGGTTTTTCATTTTTTCGTTTTGTATATTGATCTCATAATTTAGGTCTTGGTCGCCTTGCTGCCTGTTTCCTAGACTCTATGGCCACTTTGGGGATTCCGGCTTATGGCTATGGTTTACGTTATGAATATGGAATCTTCAAACAGCTTATCAAGAATGGGTGGCAGGTTTGGTTTCTTAAGAAATGACCTTATTCGAGAGAGAAATTTGAAGGTTGAAGAACCAGATGATTGGCTCAGATTTGGTAACCCTTGGGAAAAGGCCCGCCCCGAGTACATGCTTCCGGTAAACTTCTATGGAAGAGTTGTTCGAGATGCTACTGGAAAAGTACTTTGGTTTTTCGTTCTACGAACAATAATGTTTTACAATAGGCGGAATGGGTTGATACTCAAGTTGTTTATGCAATGCCATACGATACTCCTGTGCCTGGCTACAGAAATAATGTTGTGAATACACTCCGGTTATGGAGCGCAAAGGCAATTACACAACAAAAACACTAATTGAAAGTTTTTTTAGGCAGAAAATCATTTCCATTTGAAGTTCTTCAATGACGGAGATTATGTCCAAGCTGTCATGGACCGTAACTTGTCAGAAAACATCACTCGAGTTTTGTATCCAAATGATAACGTATGTTTCTTGTTCTAAAAATAGCATAGTCATTTTACTTTAAAGGTGTTCATCGGAAAAGAACTTCGTTTGAAGCAACAGTATTTCCTCGTTGCTGCAACTCTTCAGGATATTATCAGACGTTTCAAGTCTAGTAAATACGGGTGCCGTGATACCATCAGAGGAGAGTTCCAAACTTTCCCCGATAAGGTAATAATGTGAAGCTTTCTTCTTTTTCATATAGTCTTAGGTTGCCATACAACTCAATGATACTCATCCTTCTATTGGAATTCCAGAACTTATGCGTCTACTTGTTGATGTTGAAAGTACTCTTAATTATATTCTTCGACTTAATTCCTGAGCTTCGTTTCAGATTTGACCTGGGATGAGGCATGGGATATCTGTGTGAAGACTTACGCTTACACTAACCACACTCTGCTGCCCGAAGCTTTGGAGAGATGGCCAGTCAGCATGTTACAAGCACTTCTTCCTCGTCATTTGGAGATTATTTACGAAATCAACCAAAAGTTTATGGAGGTGCGTTTCTTGTTCCAAGAATTTTCATGTTCTGACTTTTAAGTTGGTTTCTTCTAAATGGGCTGGAGACTTCGAGAGAATGCGCAGAATGTCTATTGTTGAAGAAGCTGATCAACATGGCGAGGTATATTCTCCCTATTAAAGCTAATGACAAGTTGTGTTCTTTCTAGAAAAGAATCAACATGGCTCATCTCTGCATTGTTGCCTCTCATGCCATAAACGGAGTCGCTGCACTTCACTCTGATCTGCTCAAGAGCCACACGTAAGAACTCCTTCTGGTTTAAATGACCAATTTTTTTTTAGTTTCCGCGATTTCTACGAGATGTATCCAGAAAAGTTCCAAAACAAAACTAACGGAATCACACCAAGACGTTGGCTTTTACTATCTAACCCATCTCTTGCTGATACCATTGCAGAGGTACTTGTTTCCTTTTTATCTTCAACATTATTTTTTTTTCAGAAAATTGGAGAAGACTGGGTTATCAACCTCGATGAGCTGACCAAATTGAAACAGTTCGCTTCTGATCCTGCTTTCCTTGATCAAATCCGAAGAGTCAAACAAGTATGCTCATTTTATTCTTCCTAGTTAAGATTCTTTTCCAGGATAACAAAATGCATGTAGCTCAATACCTCTCTGATGAGTATAATGTGAAAGTTAACCCAGCCAGCATTTTTGATATTCATGTGAGTGACGGTCACATTTACGAGAGTTCATGAACTGTTTTTCTTAGGTAAAAAGAATTCATGAATATAAGAGACAACTTCTCAATATTCTTCATGTGATTGCTTTGTACAATCGTATCAAAGCAAATCCCAATATTGATATGGTTCCAAGAACTGTTATCTTCGGAGGAAAGGTATGTTCTCAAAATGGGAATCATGAACGGTTTTTTTTGTAGGCTGCTCCTGGTTATCACATGGCTAAGCAAATTATTCGCTTGATCACTAGTGTTGGCGAAACTGTCAACAACGATCCTCTTGTGGGAGATAAGCTTAAGGTTTTTTTGCTTTTCTTGAAGCTTCTTTTATTCGGTCTTTCTAGGTCATTTTCCTCGAGAACTACAGAGTTTCCTTGGCTGAAAAGATTATTCCAGCAGCTGATTTGAGTCAGCAAGTCTCCACTGCTGGTACTGAGGCTTCAGGCACAGGAAACATGAAATTCATGGTATCCATTCTGTTCATAGCTTGAAAATATATAAAATTGTTTAGCTTAATGGAGCTCTTACCATTGGAACCCTTGATGGTGCCAACGTTGAGATGGCTGAAGAAATGGGATTGGAAAACATCTTCATCTTCGGAATGAATGTTGAGGAAGTAGAAGCTTTAGGAAAGCGTGGTTACAACTCTGGAGAGTTCATCAATAAGAGTCCTGTACTCAAGCAGGTACTAGGGTTTTTGTTACCTATCATAGCTGATTCTGCCTTAGATTGTCGAACAAATTGAAGGAGGTATGTTCACACCTGAACAACCTGATCAACTCAGAGATTTGTCAAATATGCTGAAATTCCACGACAGATTCATGGTCTGCGCTGACTTTGACGCTTATATTGAGGCACAAGACAAGGTAAGCAGAAAAAATAACTACTTGGCTTCAATATTCGGTTTAGGTCTCTGAGACATATAGAGATCAGCATAAGTGGGCTGTAATGGCTCTAATGAACATCGCTTCCACTGGTAAATTCAGTACTGACCGCACAATCGCCGAGTATTCCCGAGAAATTTGGGGAATCGAGCCTGGAGAGATTTCTCTTCCACCTCCATATGAAGAATCTACTGAAAACAACTAAACCTATGTTTGCTTGTTTCATTTTTACTGTTTAATAGAAAATAACGAATCAATCTAAGTTTACCCTAGCTTGCCTTTGTTGAAAAAAAATTGCTTTTGAACATCTTAATATTTTTAACTTAAAATATATTTAACATAGGACGTTTTATAAATATTTTTCATTGAACTTGAAAATTAGCTAACAGTTCTATGAGTATACATGTCAGGATGAAGTCGAAGAAGAAGTTTTGGATGATGTTGTTGAGGAAGACACTGAAGAAGTAGAGGAAAAAGACGAGCTTGACGATACACTTTTCTTTGTGGACTCGTACGGTTCCTCACTTAGTTTTTCATCGTCTTCTTTCTCTTCACTGTGCGCAGTGGTAACCTGAAGTCATAATATTGTGAAAAAAAAAGCTAGGACTTCTACCTCGCTTCCTTCTCGATGAACGGAATAAGTGTTGTTGGAAACATCAGAAGTACTTGGTTTTTCTCTCTATAACAATATACTATAACGTGATGGTTAATAACGAAGAAGTTTCCAAATATAAAGTGTGGCTATGGTGGAGGCAAATGAACTAGGTATGAACAACCATAACTTTCACAAAGAATGAATAATGAACCAGGGTTTCTACTGGCAATTTCCGCTCTCATGATGTCAGGAATATACGTAGGTTGTCGCGTTGAATTGTCTACATTTTTTTTAGAATTTCTTACCTTATTCTTCTTGACATTGTTCATAATATTTTTAAATTTCCTATCCAAAGCATTTTTGTGAGAAGTAGAAGTTTGCATTTCCATAATTAGAGGCCGGTTTAGAACCCTATAATATGAAGAGTTTTACAAAATTATATAATAGAAAACAACCGTTCTTGCATTTCTTTCAATTGTAAATTGTACTCATGGGTCAGAGACATCAGGTTTGATCTGAGAAACAAATTTTCTTATTTGAGTGTTCATAAACAAACCGTTTCTCTTTTGCTTTTTTTGATATGTCTGAGGTGCTCTGAGATTTTTTAACGGTTGATATCAACTTATTCTTTGCTGATTTCATTCGATCATTATTGAAACTCCAGAAACCACCAGGTTTTTTGCTATTTTCTTCAGATAGCTTGTTCCTATACGACAACTTCAGCGTTTATAATTTGAAAAAATAAACCTTGTTGCTTCCAAACGGAGCTGAGTCGATAATGTGGTTCTATAGGTGTTAAAATCATAGTTAGAAAAAATGGGAACTGGATTGGCAGAGAATCGACGAGACGGGGTGGCCGAACGACACTGAAAACAATGAAGCCATGGAGCACAGAATATTTGTGAGTTACTTTTCGATGTTTTGAATTCTTAGTTTCTGAGAAGTTGAACGGGATCACCAGCGTTGTTCTTGGTCTTGATCTCGCTTGCGTGTTCTTGAACTATATAATATTCTGAACTGTGATATGCTTGAGATCCAACCTGTTTATGAAGCGTTTTGAAATCGGGAACTTTTTTGGGAGGTTTGAGCTTCTGCTCATCCTCAACACATTTTTTGTGACGAAGTCGGAATGCTATGTTCGTCTTAATAGAGTGTTCCTGAAAGTTATGAGCCGATTGAAAATTCTTTGATTGTAAATACCTTTATGCCTGGAGGTGAATGAGCTTCTTTTAATAAACTGGTTGCTCGTTTCGACTGATCTCGTTCTCGATGAAGTTTGTTCAAATCTCCAGATGAAATATAAGTTGATAGAGGAACAGGCCTTGAAGTAATACCTGGGAAGGTAATCATATTAATTATGAATAACAACTACTTACGAGTTAAGTCTGCACAACTTTTGCTTTTAAGCTTCTGTTGAGATGCCGATAATCTTTGTTTGATTAGTTTCTGGATTGACTGAAAAAGTTGAATAGTTTAATGATTCTAACTCTCTCAAACCTCGAGATATTTCGGATCATTTACAAACTTATTGTTGGATATATAAGTTGTCGAAGGAATGGGAGAAGCTTTGAATGGCTTCAATGATTCCAACATCTTTTTCTCTTCAACTTTTTCAGCTTCTTTTTTTAAAATCATGTCTTCAATGAATTTCCTAGAGTACGTGTTTCCCAAAGGTTTTCTGAACTCGTATATGAATATGATAGCAATAAAGGAGCAAAACCTTGTCAAAAACTTGAAAGGTTTTGGTACAGTTTGTTTGTTTGCAGCTGGCTGCTCTTTGAGCTCTTGATTCTCTTCCTGAGCTTTCGATTTATTCTTTGACTTATCTGAACGGAACAAAAAACACTAAGAAAGAGAGAAAGAGTTTAACTCATTTTTGAAGGAAGCAAGCGTGGCCGCTGAAATGATCCCATTTATCTACAAAGTTATGTTTCACATACCGCAGGTATTTTATGATCTTTCCTTCTCATAACGCTTGAACTGAACTGTTTGTGTTTCTCTGGTTCCTTCTCTTGTTTTAAATCAGACCAATAGTGTGTACATCCAGGAGAAGAATGATATGTTGCATTTTCGAGGAACCGTTGATTTTGTAAAGATGTTGTGCTACGACATTTCTCTTCTAAAAACTTTGTAGTAACCTTGTGGCTTTCACGGAGAAAGTGAATTTTTTCATAGAAATCCTTTTCTCTTTCGCGCTCAGGGTTCTGAAATCAGTAACATTTAGATTGGAGCAGCTGAGTATGTTTCCTACATGTTCTAACGCGCACAGCAAATTTTGAGTTGCTGTCAGCGTTTTTTCGATTGAATCCATTCCATCAGCTCAAATATGTATAAATAAACATATGTATACGAGTATACTTTACAACACAAAACGAAGAAAATAATCTATTGTTTTAAACTCGAAATTTGTATAGTGGTAAGCAATAGTGGATAGCGTGACAGCTGCCAGCCATCTAAGGCTGTTACCTTGCCAACGGAGGAAGTGTCAAACAAGCCTTAGTTGACCTCATTCGTATATTTACATTAATCTTCAGCCAGTCTGTTTTGAATATCACGAATAAGCAAAATATATTATTTATTTACAGTTAGATAAAAATAATCGGAATTGAAAAGCTTCAAATTGTGAAAAGGAATTTTCGATGAAGGGTCAGCAGGAATGATGTCAGATCAGTTTCCAGAGAAGTAGTGAAGATTCATCCTCGCCATAGCTTACAAAAAGAGAATCGTTTATCATTATCACAGAGGCAGGTTGGGAATGAGCTGATAGCTCATGATAACCAGCCTAGAAAAAGCAAAATTATAAGCTTTTGTTTGTGCTCTCCACATTATTTTATATGTCTTTAATTATAATTAAGGCTATACACAACTGTCACCAATTAGTTGAAGCGAGGATATGGCAGGTCAAACAAAACAAAATAGAAATGTCTTATTACCCTACGTGATAGTGTTAATACACTCTTCAGATCTTACCGTTAGTGTGATGTATGGGTTTTTATACAAGCGAACACTTCCGTTGTTATTTCCACAATAAACTGTGTTCTCATCAGCTGTCACATTATCGAAGCCTAAATGTAGTACACTTATTAGATTGATCCATATACACTACCTTTCAAGGCATGTTGTATGCATCCAGAAGCGAACGATATTTTACAGGAACTAGTAGACCATTTTAGTAACCGTACAATAGAAAAGCTGATTGCCTCGCCAGTAATGGCCCCTGAATACTAGTTGTCAGACACGTAAAAGTTCATTCTCACAATAGTAGGAGTGTCCTATATTTGAATTTGCTCTCAGATACTCTGAGTTCTGATCCCAATCTACATTCGTAACTGCTGCGGATAATGAGGAAAAGCGTACGTGCTGCTGTAGCTTGTAATCTTTAGCCAAACGACATACGAATGCTTGAAGATTCTGAAAATAAGATAAAAACAAGTCATCAGAAATTTCAACCTTTCTAGCAACGAATAAGAAGTGACCGTTGGGAGAAAATTTGAGACAGCACACAGGGTTGTTATTGTCCGACTGCTCCATCAACTGTTCTTTGGTATTCAGATTGAACATTGAAATAGTCCCATCAGAGAATCCCAAAGCTATAATGCTTGCATTTTGGCAGATTGAAAGACATTGAATTCCATCCTAGAAAGCTAGATAAAAACAAGAAATGAAGGTACTATTACCGAGAATTTTCTGTAGTAATCAACTGTTAAAGTGGTATAGTTATAAATTCTCAAGCCTCCATCCTTACTTCCGGTCACGAAGCTCTGGGAAGCTTCCCAAACCTCGCCACATTGAATGCTTTGAGCATCTCCCTATAGCCTCGAGATGTTCAAGTTTTATTTTTCAAAGATTACTTGAATAACAGGTGCTAATCCTTTTTCGAAGCCACCTTCAAAAAGATTATTCTGCGATGTTCCGACAAGAACTGAATCGTCTTTCATACTAGTTATACACAAAGGTGAACCGTTCTCATCTGGTACCTGTAGCAACAATCTTAACTTAATTGAAAACTTTTGGTCATCTAATACTTCAATAGGTCTTTTTCTACGGATTAAATCATTGACATCCCATTCACAAACATTTTTGTCTTTGCCCACTGTAAGCAAATATCCTTTCTTGGTAAGTGTCATAGCAGTAACTCCCCCATGATGAACGGAAAAAGCCTGGATCTTAAATTGCGCAACGAAAACTTCTATTGAGCACCTGTTTGATTGTTTTCAAGGTTTCTGCGTTCCAAAGAGTTATGGTACCACTTGAATCTCCTGTTGCAAGAACCCCTAAATCTGTAAAGCAAAAGCAAGACACTTTGTTCGAATGATCGCCCTGAAAAAACTTTTTATATAATTTCTAATAGTATTTTCTTATGTAATAACCTCGAATACAGCTGTTTGCTTCTGTACAATTGAAGAAGATCCATTGAATTCCCATATTGAAAGATTCTTCGTTCCAAGAATTGCCAGAAGGTTGCGTGTGGGATGCCAAGCAGAAGTCAATACATCACCAGATGCTGTCTGTATATGAACATAATTGAATTTGAAATGAGAGGCATGATAATCTCTCACAATTGCTTTTGCCACAAAAGATTTACTCGATGTATTGTATATATGAACGTGAGCTTTACTAGAAGATTCGATCAATGATAGGTATGTTCCACCTGAAGATAAAGGGATATAACATTCGAGGAGTTTTTTTCCTACCATCAGATTGCGAGAATGACATGCTGCAAACTTGCTCTAAGTTATCGGCATCGATATTGTACTTAGTCTCTAGAGATATACTATCCCAAACTATTATCTTCAAAGTATTGGAAGTAAGCAAAACTATTTGTTAAAACTTACTATATTACTTTTCTTACCACTTAACTTCCGCAGTCTTTGCGAGCTAACCATAATACATCTGTTGGGATGAAGGGCTATGCTAAAAGGGACAATGAAGATTCAATCTGTACACTCATTGAACCTTTGGACCTGATCAGTATGGCTCACAAAAAATCTCTGTTTCTTCTCATAAACATTGTACAGAATTATAACGTTTCCGGTGGAGTAAACTATTTCCGATGTAGGCAAAACGTTCATTGTTACATTTTTTCCTTTTGCTCTGAATCCTATAATAGGGGTATCAGAGTGCGATCACTATTGTGCAATAACCGAAAGACCAATGTAACTGTGGTAGCTTTTCAGGTGGTGTAACTTCTTCTAGTGGATTCAACAGAATACCGTCCGGAATTGGAATACGAACATTTCGGTTCGAAACCGAAAGTTGTATGAAATCTTCATTTATTTCGTATGCGGTAAGGTTTGGACTGAACAAGTGGTGTGAAAGGGTGGTGCACAAATAAAAAACAAACACTGATGGATTTTTTATCGTTGTAACTAAGGAAGTTTTATTAATATGAAGAATGTTGGTAGAAGAGTTCGTCTTATGTGGTACCATATCTAGGGTTGACATCCACTTCCTCATAGGTGACCCTATAATAAGAGCAGTACTTAAGAGCTGCAATACCTATTCGGTACGAATGAACCTCTACTACTCTTTCCTACAGATACACTAATAACGTTTTTGGTCTGAAAATGAAAGAGTTTACAGAGCAAGATGAATCAAATAACAGTTTCAAATTTACGAGGTGTATATTCACTTTTGGTCATATTCCAGAGCTTAGGCACAGGAGAGTTATTTGCAGCATAACCGTTCGAGGAATCTAAAGAAAAGGGTTTTCATTTAAATAAATAAGTTACAAATACTTCTAGACTTATTCTCCAGCTCTTTGACACGGCAAACCAAGTTATCCATAATCTCCGCAAGGTTATCCTATATCATCATAGATGTTGAACTAAACGCCTTTGCACCGACTATAAGTTTCTGCTGGAATTCCACTTCTCTTTTCAGTAAGTTAATTTCAGAACGACCATAATTATTATCAGATTGATAGCCTGAAGGTTTTATTCTACAGGGCTACACAGAATTATGAGCGAACCTCGATGATGTTGTTTTGAGCCAGAATTGTTGCCAAGCATCTTATTCCACCATTGATTACAGACTTTCGTCACGTATCTGATTAATTTCTCACGAAAATAATAACAAGTACAAATAATAATGAGAAAAAGCAGAGCAACCTCCATGATGAACAAGGGGCGATTCAATAAAGAGAAAGTTCTTTTTACAACAACGAAATAAAGAGCATTGACTCATTGTTTAAAACTGTGTGTAATGTTTGATGAAATGGTTTTCAATGTTTGAAGAAATGGTTCGCAGTCGAATGACATTCGAGAAAGCAATGAATATTCAATGATACCATATTCATGTATTGAATATTTATGCTTCTGATCCATAATAAAATGAAAAAAATTCAAGGGGTGCTTGCACTTGTTACTATATGAGTTAGCAGTTATTTATTCATTCATTTCATAAGCGAATGCTCAAGCCATTGTGCAGAAGCTCACTCTTTCTTCAAGCAACTGCTTTATGTCGTTCAGAAATTCAAAGAACTTTGAAACAGGCTTCCACTATGTTCAAAAGAAAATAGCACAGCTACCACCAACCGCTCTATATCGAACAACAATAAGAAATGAACAGCAATTAATCAAACTCTAACGTGAGCGTCACGTGGAATCTATTCGATAGGTACAATTGATTCTGAGTTGACTTAAACGACTTTCTTCAATTCATTGGCGCTAATTTTCCGATAACAGTGCAAATGTGGATACTAGTGTTACCAAATCAATGATGATATACTGACGGGAATGCGTTCATGTTCTTGGAAGTACAGTTTTTCAAACTCCGGTGACCAATTTGAGTGGGTTCCAATAGGGAGGCAATCAATCAGTACGACAAAAATGATTCTTCGATAATATCAATAATTAGTGTAATAAATGATACTATCGATCTAAATTATCTACGACGACATCATTTTGCCAACCTTGACCAAAAACAGTGCTCCATTCGATTGTTGTTGCCATCAGTCGCAAGACGTTCCATTAGTTTCATATTTATGCATCTCACAATCTGTTTCCTATTTAAGTTATGCCAAAAGTTGTTATTGCTGGAGCGGGATTAGTTGGTGCACTGAATGCCTGTTACTTTGCCAAACGTGGTTGGACTGTCGAAGTTTATGAATATCGTAAAGGTTCGAACAATTGGACATAAAACTTCCTCTGAGTGGTGTTCGCATCTTTGTTCTCAATAACTGTTGAAGATGAACTCGTACTTATTATACAATCTTACAGATATTCGTAAAACCGAACATGTCGTTGGAAGAAGTATCAACTTGGCTTTGAGCCATCGTGGCAAAACAGCCTTGGAGCAAGTCGGTTTGAAACAGTACATAGTGGATCAAGGTTGAATATGGAGAATTTGGAAACAGCTAATATATTCTAGGTGTTCCTCTATATGATCGTTTAGTTCATGACAAAAATGGAAAAACTTTTTCAAGGCAACCGTATGGACAACCGGGAGAAGTTTGTTCAATTTTCAATCTTCAAACTTATTGACTGATTAGCATATCGTTTCTATCAATCGAAGACACCTCAACGAAGTTATGATAACTCAAGCTGAAAAATGCGGGAATGTTAGGTAGTTCATCATCTGCAATATCATTTTCACCACCACTTCTTTAAGATTTTTTTTCGAACACAAAGTGAAACGTATTAATATTGAGCTAAATGAGTTAACAGTACAAAGGTTCAATATATTTCATTATTATCTGAAACATGAAAACTATTTGTAGTGGCGAGGTTGAACTCATAGTATCGGCTGATTTGATTGTGGGTTGCGATGGAGCTTACTCGGCAGTGCGAAGAAGTTTATCTACACTTCCAAAGTAGGCATGTCTGATATGATTTTATGACATCAAAAGTTCAGATTCAACTACTCACAAGAATATATTGAGCACGGATATGTCGAATTGAATATTTTGCCAAAAAATGACAAAGTGAGTAACAAAAATTGAAAAAAGTAGATTATTAACTTATGTTCTATTTTTAGTTTGTCTTTGAGCCTAATGTTTTCCATCTTTGGCCTCGAGGACATTTCACTCTCATCGCATTAGCAAACACAGATAAAACTTTCACTGGTTTCTTTAAAAGATAAATATATAACTTAATATGTCAATTACAGTAACCATCTTTGCTCCATATGCAGAATTTGAAAAACACATGTCGACGTCACAGGATGTCGAAAAATTCTTCAAAGATAACTTCTGCGATGCTTATGAAGTGTTAGGAAGGTGATATATACTGATATTAAAACTTAATGCAAATGCGTTGTCCCTTTCAGAGAGCATTTGCTGGATGTTTTCAATCGTGTTAAACCTCAATCTCTAATTTCAATCAAATGCTCTCCACATCATTTTGGTAAAGGAATTCTCATAATGGGTGATGCTGCTCACGCCATGGTTCCTTTCTACGGACAAGGCATGAATTGTGTTAGTGAGAACAGAAGAAGACACAAAAAAAAGTGGATCATAAACAAATTTATTTTTTTTTGCAGGGTTTCGAAGACTGCTTGGTATTGAGTCAGGTGTTGGATGACTGTAAGGACAACATAGGTAAGCATAATATGAAACCATTATGCATCTGATCTCTTTGAATCCTGTGTTGCAAAAGTTTATCATCTTGTTTTCGCAAAAAAATAATTTTTAAGCCGAAGCCGTTGAGTTATACAGTAAGCGGCGTGTCAGAGATGCTCACACAATTAATGATCTGGCTATGTATAACTACGAAGAAGTCAGTTGTACTTTTATCTAACAATCTATTATTTTGCGTTCTTTTTCAGTTGAAAGATCTAGTGAACCACAAATCCTACAAATTACGTAAGAAACTGGACTTATTCTTAAATAAGTGGCTTCCAAACACTTGGGTACCCCTCTATTCTATGGTAACTTTCACGCGTATACCGTACTCCCAAGTAGTTGAAGATCGTAAGTGGCAAGATAAGGTTGGTCATCAAATAGTTAGGCATAAAAATTGATTGTTTGTCAGATTTTGAGCAGATTTTCAAATGTTGCTCTGTTAAGCATCGGTGGAGCTGGTATTGGATTGTTCTATCTTTACAAGAGTGGTAAGCTCTCTCAGTAAGAACAAGCATAATCAATAAATAGTTTATTGTCTTGGCTGTTTAATATTTAGGATGAATAAAAATATTTTTGCTCTTTTCGTATTATACGATTTATGTGTGTATTATCCGAAGCCACAACCGCACATACCAGGAACGTAAGTGACAGGAGCATATGTACCACATCCACAACATCCTCCACAACATCCATAACCTGAAGTAATTATTAAAGCCAATTCGTATAGTTAAGCAACAATAAGAATGCAACTACAACTAACGAACCACAATATCTCTTGGCTCGAATGGCAGTTCCAGTTTCATTATTGAACATGGCTATAGCAGGATCAATCAAATCAGTTGAAATCTTGCTGGCATTATCATTCTCAACAACAGTTTCCAAAGCTTTTTCGTGAAGCTTAGAAGTAACCTAAAAACATATGAATAATGTTATCTTAAAATTCAAAGTGTTCAATCAAGTTACCTTCTCATGGTTGTTTGCGTTTTTGGATAAAAGCTTATCCAGTAAATCACAAGTTCCGTAATTAATAAGGAAGAAAAGGAATATTGCTGAAACGAAGAATCTCATTTTCATATTGTGTCCATCTCATCAGCTTTTCCTTATATAGTCTTTGTTGTATTTGAGCAGATGTTCAGAAAAAAGTTTATTTTCCATCACATTTACATATAGGCAAATAAATATGGTCATTTTTATCATAGAATTTATAATTTAATCAAACAAATTTTTTTTTCTTAAAAATTATTTCCAAACTCAATGATTCTCAATTTGTATAGTTTTTTTATGCAAAATAATCGAATTTTAACAGAAAATAAAAGTTTATTTTTATTTTGCCAGCAAAAACATAGGACGTTTCATAAGGAATTCTCTCAACAATACATTCAAGTCATTTCTTCCACACGGAGAGAATAATTTTTCAATTTGAACAAAGAAATTCTTCTTGTTCTTCTATCTTCCTCGCTTTGTTATTTATCAGACAAGCTAATATACTCAGGTTTACTGATACAATTGAGCTTTCATCAACCATTCTCTTCCATGATTTACCTCTTTTCAATAGATAACTCAGTTTTGCTGTCATCGTTGTTGAAGCAAAAAAAACAACGATGAAAGCTTGGTGTTCTGAATGCTTTGTAGATATAGTATACACTATGAGAGAGTTGAATCTTTTTTCTCTTTTATAATCAAAACTTATAAAAAGTTGAAAATCGGATGATGAAAGCTCGTTGTCATTGAATTTGACCCAACTTGATTGGCTTCCGAAAATAACGACGATGACGTTTCAAAGATGAAATTAGGAAAGGAAATGTTTGCTGTTTGAAGAACGCTGAACAATTTTAATTTTCACTCGGATTTCTTTTCATCTACAGGCTTCTTGTATTTATTCCAACCAGAGAAAAAAAAAGAAAAAAAAAAGGATTTTTTCTCGTCTTGCTATACGGTAATTCGCTTCAAACAAATCCCCTCGATTGGACAACGTGTAATCAGAAGTTTTTCAAGAAAAGCTTGTCCTTTCACTTTGTACACTTTTTGTATTTTTTCATGTAAGCCGAGTTCGAACGAAGTGCGACTCGTTTGGAAGCTTATTTTGTTGTTTGTCTTCTCCCATCGCATTGTCTTATAATTATCTGAAAGTCTTATCTGTTATTCTTGGCTCAAAAAAAACTTCAATGAATTATTCATGATTGGCGTTTTTTTCAAACTTTTTTTCCGATACGGATATCCATTTTCCGTTTCAGAAATGTACTGGAAATGAAATCTGTTGAATTTTCATGTTGTTTCCGCCTTATTTCAATGTTTGTAAATCAATTTTGGAGAATACTCCAAATATAGTACTCAATAGGATACTCTCCTTATTATTCTATTTATTTCGAAAAAAAAAGTTATTTTGGACATTTTATAAATTGAACCGAAGTAATTTATAGAAAATAAACGAGTTCGATAGGAGAAATTGAAAATGGCCAAGCTTATCTTCAAACTTTATGAAAGGTCGTGAGTGGGAGAAGAGAAAAAATAAAAAAAAAAGTAAAAAGAAAGAAAAGAGAAAATGATCGAAAGAGGTAGAAAGAGAAAAAAGGAAATGGAGAAAAGAAGGAGAAATGAACAGAGAGAAGAAAGGATAGAGAATAGCTGTTAAGAGAGGGGAAAGAGAAAATCATGAAATAGAGGAGGGGCAGAGCAAGAAGTAAGCATAAAAGGTTAGTGTCTGTTAATATTGCAAGCTTCAGAGTAGATAGCTGAGTAGATCTTAAAAGTATCTAAGGAAAAGTCACCTTCAACATTGCATTCACTTACTCCAACCTATTTTGCTTATTGCCCATTCGTCAGACTTCATTTTTTGCAGTCGATTATGCTATCAATGATCTCCACATCCATCCACATATTGTATTTTCTTATTCCAAACATCCTGCTTGTTATAATTTGCCTTGGAGAGCATAATATTCATCAAAAGGTTCTTTTCGCATCATCATGCGTGATTCTGATCTCTGGGTCTTCTGATATTTCTTCCTAAGATGGATAAGCTATGAACAGAGCCGTCACAAAACTCCCAAACACTTTCCTGATTTATCTTTTGAGTTCCGTTCAAAATTTTCGAAACCAAGTATATTAAATGTTTTATTTTCACATTTGAAACAATAAAATTCATTTCTAATATTTTCGTTTGCACACATGATGCTTTTCACATATAATTATGTATTCATATACTTCTTTTCTAATTAAGCCCCATCGAAAGTTAATTTCGACCATCTCACTCTCTCTTTCCTCCTCCTCCTTTCTCTGTTTATATACTTTACTCTATTCACTTCAACTTTCATATTTTATTTTTTCACATTTTTGTATTTTGCGTTACATTCATTTGAATATCCACGTCATTTACGTCAAATATCACGTAGTCGAAACTTTGACTTAAATTTCTTGAATAACTCCCACACAGAACGGTTGCATTCCCTTCCCTCTCTCTCTCTCTTACTCTTTTTTTGTTTCTCCCTCTAATCCTCTCTTTATTTCTTTTTCTTACTTTTCCGTTGTCCACTCCTTTCACTTCGTTGTCTACTCCTTATCTTTCTTCTCCTAAACTCTCTCCATCTTACCTACAATCTCTTTGATTGTTCTGACTGAAGGAACGAGTTAAGAAACAACTTAATGATTATGTTTTTCAACATAATATACCAACATCAGCATAACTATACCCAATAAGATAGATATTTATATTTGATACTCATATAAGGTAAGCTTAAATGCCATCCTCATAGGAAGCTTTGTCAGTCTTCAATTTCCTTTTTTGTCTTCAATTAAACCCAAGTTTAAAATGAAATTTTCATTATTTGTCTGTTTGAGCGGTTAAATCCTTACAATTTAGATGAATTCGTTATGTTTCAAAATGGGAAAAGCAGCAAAAAAAAGGTTAAATTTTGAAGAATGAGAAGCGCGATATTAAAAGGCTTTGTGAGTGCTGTGTGTGTGCAAAAGCTTCAAAGCATATTGTTGATGACAACATCATTTTTAAATTTGAACTCGCTTGTAACTTCTACGTTTTTCTTTTTTTCTTTTTTTTTTTCTGTTTTTTTTTTCTGTTTTTTTTTTGTTTTTTTTCACAGTTCCTTTTCTCAAACGATGTCAACTTGAATAATGCTTATTTAGGTAATAAAAGAAGAACAAAATAAGGAAAAAAGATGAAATATTCTCAACTTGTTACATTTGTCAGTCTACTTTTGATCATAGCATTTGCTCAGAGTCGAATTCTTAATTATGAAGGTAATCAGGCAGTTTCTTTTGTGTTTCTTTCATATCTCTCTTAGTCTCTCCGGCTATCCCTCAACATCCCTATTGTCTATCTTCCTTCTTTATTTTCTTTCTCTTTTCACTCTTGTATGTTACTTTTTTGGATTAATTTTCAATCATTTTTGGATTAAAAAAGAAAAAAAGGAAATGCAAAAATGCAAATTGTTTTCTCAGCTTCTTGTTCTTTCATTTAGGCATGTATGAGCAATAGTAAAAGCTAGCGCACACATTACATATTTTGCGGAAAAGTTGGAAGAAAGTTGAAATCAAATTCTATTTCCTTATTGAAAATCAGATAATACATTGAATTTTCCAAATTTCTAATCAATTTAAATCTGTTAATCTAAGTTGTATTCTCGAGGGAATATCAAAGATCAGCAGCAAGCGCGTCAGTTTCAAATCTGTTAGTAGTTAAGAAAACTATTTGATTTATAAATCAAAATTATAATATATATTTATATGGTTAATACATACGATTTTCTTCTATTTTAATATTACAGAGGCTGCTATGATCCATGACGGTGAGTGGCCGGAAATGGATAATCTATTGATAGATAAATACCCCAATGATTATGAAGCTGTAAGTTGCCGTTTATTCTTGTATTATAGGATTTTTGACTTTTTTCTTGTTCTTCCTACTACTCATCTTAAAGCATCAGCGGATTTCATTTTTTTAATTCTTTTTCCCAAATATTTTGCTTCCGTTCTCTATATTTCAATTTAAGGCACATTGGAGAAAATATGAAGCGCAGCAGTTTCTGAATCCGACAAAGAAGAGCACGAGGTTAGCCTTTATCTTCAACAACGTTTACTTAAGAAGCAAATGGATTAGCTTCAAATCTAATTTAATGAGGAAATTGAGGATTTTTTTTCAGTTTGAAACGTTTGGCTCTTTTGAGTGCTCGAGGTTTCGGGAGACGATAATGGAAGAAGAAGATGAAATGACTGGAAAATGGAGAATATTGCCCACAACACATGTATCATCTAATGATAGTTTAATTATAATTCGTATATTAAAGAGAACATCTTGGAACATTCTTTTTATCTTTTTAATCCAGTTTTCTGAGATATTTCCTGCTGAACACTTAAATAAAAAGATTAAATATGTTAATATTTAAATTTTATTATATGTGGATGGACAGCGGGATATCAGATGGATGACATAGAAAAACCATCTTTGATACTTTCACCTACCGGTTATGCAAATTCAATCACTATTAAGCGGGAGATGGAAATAATGGATTATATCCCATTTATATGCATCATTTGAACATATCCAGAAGAAGCTATATAAGGAACAGCTCGATCATTTAAGATTTTGTTAGAATCTTGTCACTTTAAAGGACATTATTTTTGAAACCCTTTGCCATGATGAGCGATTATGGCAAAAATCTGAAAATGAAATCATCAGATGTTATCATTTACATTATTCTCTTCATTTCCTGCACTTTGCTATGTATTGTTAATTTGGTCATCGTTGATTTGAAAGCTGAAATAGATGATAGCTGGATGATTTTTGATGCAAATATGGATGAGACAAAGGTAAACCTTATTTTCTTCTTTCCGCCATATTACTTCAAAATATGAAAAATCCTTGAATATTCATGATTTGCAGGCCATTTCTCAAAATATTTTGAGAGATCTTCAGCAGTTTTCCATTAAAAAGCTGGAAAAACGTCAGAACTATTATGATAACGCTCAACTCCCGCAAGTGGAAGCTGTAGAAGCGAGTCCGCCTTCTATCAAACCACAGAACAGTATAGGAGTCATTATGTGATTTATTATCATCTCTATATGCTTGTAGCAGACTGTAATAATCAACCAAACTTCTGCCCAGCCGGCCCGCCAGGAGTCAAAGGCCCACCAGGAGATAGAGGCTTGCTTGGAGAGTCCGGAAAACCGGGAAATCCGGTAGGGAAACATATGACTTAATATTTGATCTGCTGAAAGATGAATGAATATTCAAAATTATTGTTTAGGGACTTGATTCTGACGATGTTTTGTTTGAACATATGGATATGCCATGCATGTATTGTCCCGCTGGAGAACCTGGTTCACCGGGCGTGCGTGGACCTCCAGGTGAGTATAACTAAGAAATCATAAATCTAGCATTGAAGCTTCAATCAGCAAACTATTAATACATTATAAATGTATATCATTAGCTGCAACCATTAATTAATAGAGATCAGAGAGATTCACTTTGAATGCAACCGCTCTAATCTCAATCTTGTTTACAAATAACTTAATGCATTAATATAATCGATATGCTAATTTCCGGATTTGAGGTCCGCGTGGGTTGCGTGGAGCAGAGGGTGTTCAAGGTGTTCCGGGCCATAATGGATATCCTGGACTACATGGAGAGCCTGGTGATGTTGGAGACTTAGGAAAAACTGGTCCCGTTGGTCAGAGAGGACGAAGAGGAATGGACACTCAACAAAAGCGTGGACTGCCTGGACCAATGGGACCATCTGGCAAAGCAGGTGAAGCAGGCGAAGAAGGAGAGTATGGACGATCTGGTCGTAGAGGCATTATTGGATTACGGTAATGCAGAGAAAAGTTTGACGCAAAAAACATGGATTTTAGTGGTAAGAATGGATTAGCTGGTGTAGCTGGAAGACCAGGACATCCAGGAAGACGTGGTGAAGTAGGTGAAGTTGGTATTAAGGGATTAGATGGATTGGTAAGAATTCAAATATACGTAAAGACTTTTAATAATTTTTTATTGAAGTATTGTCCATGTCCAGAATTGAGTGCACATGTAGAAGCATGAAAAATGTACAAAATAGAAGAAGAAGATGAAGAAGAAGATGATGATGATGGAAACAATAAATATATTTGAAAGAAATAAAAAATAAACATAATTTTTATACAGAAACTCAAGAGAACTCGCATATCACAAGAACATTTGAGAAGATTTATGACATACGCTAAGATATATAATTTTTATAGTTTATTAAAGCTTTATATATCTGATTCATTATGGGATATTCGTATCTCGAAGAGCATCTGAATCGTTGTTTAAACAAACTATCATTTTTAATGAACTAATTTGTGAATGAAATACTCGTATAAGTTCGTGTGTGTCATTTTTTGTTTCAAAAATAAAATTAAAAAATAAATTGAAAGTATCAGATGTGTCACTAGATGAAGTCGAAGCTTTCGTATTTTGAAAAAAAAATTATTTTTCGAATGTTTTGAACTTATCTTATCTAACTAAGATAGAATAGAACAATCACTGGAACCGTTACTAAAGTGAGGAAAAATAACATAAATAACAAATCCAAACGTTCAGCTATACGGACGTAGCCGTTCATTTCGCGTCGACGTCTTGGACCGTGTGGATCATCCATATCAAAATCATCCAATTCTCCCTAAAACCATATTATATAATTTAATTTTTTTTCTTATTTCTATTTCATTGATATTCTAAAGCTTTAAAGATCAAGCTTACTAATGATTAAAGCATGAAGAAGATTTCAAAGATTAACACTGGGCCTTCTACGAAGATAAGATTATAGAATACATGTACTTTCGCATTTTGCCAAAATCAAATATTTTTTTTTTCGCACAATTTAACACTCAATTTTTTATCTTTTCTAATCATTATCTGTGTTTTATATTTTCGATTGACTTTTGCTTCATAAAATATGTCAGAGTGGTGCAGCTGCAGCGATTTGAGGATCTATTGAGCTTCTAATGTTCGATGGAAGAGAAAAGACAATTTATGGCAGTCAAAAGAAGAAGAAGAAGAAGAAGGAGGAGAAGATGGAGAAGAAGATGATGAAAAAGAAGGGAAACATATCAGAAGGTTGAATGAGGCGAACTGACAACGATCAGGCCAGTTGTCTCATTTCTTCACCACGACGACACGTCATGAGCCATCCACGATGTGTTAATGTGAAAGTCTGAAGACTCGAAGAAGAAGAAAGATATTAAGAACAAACGTGAGAAGCAGAGTATCTCAATGAGAGGGAGGGTGATCAAAAAAAGTAATGAAAGAAGTTCTTTTAGCCATCTGTTCATACAACTCATCTATTTTGATGAATGAACACAATAATTACGAATAGTTATGAAGTTATATAACGAAAGAAAGAGAGAAAAAAGTTTTTTTCACCTGTAAATTTTCACAAGTATTAGCCAATCGTTTGACGAAAGCTTCCAATGAATGAATTCGTTTGGATAATGCAATTTCTGAGTCAATGTCGCCATTTAAATGGTCACTTATCAATGGTTTCGTCAATCCAAGTTCGTCGTTTCCTTGCTTCTGCAAATTCAATTTCTTTGCTAGTGAACGAGCCAAAAATGGCATTGCTACGTAAGGAACTTGTCTCCTTTAGAGCAATTGAATTACCTTTGATCTAATTGGTCTTAAACAGAAAGATTTAAGGATCCAATCTGGAGGTTCTTTCCCGAAACGTCCTTTTCGATGAACTCTCATGACAATTCCAGTCGTCATGGCTGCGATTGAGACGACTATCATATTGAACAGAAAATAGGCAACTGAAACAATGTGTTTCATTCATATAAACTCTTAATAAAACTATAAAATCGTAGTATTTACGATAATTTTTGATTTCTTGATCCCTTTAATTAAGAAATTCTGTGTTAGACTATGAGATCTTAGAGAAAAGGGTTAAGAAAATCACGACAATTTACACATTTTATGATCTTTCTTTAAAGATGTACTAATGACATTCAATAGTGCACAGAAAGTGATTTGATCTTTGAGGATTTGTAAATATAAATATTCCTTTTTTACCTAATAAAGGCACATGTGTTGAACTATGAGGTACTTTCTCACTAACAACAAGTGATAAGACTGCCATTGTGAGAATGGCTGTCACTCCTAGAGTAAACCGTTCCTAAACAATATGTTAACTTGTGAAATATTTTTCAAATCCCACTTCTCTTTCTCCGGTTGTAGAAAATCTGGCAAAAAGGCCAACGACAGAAATTGAGCACATAATGTATGATGGAAATGTTAATGTTACCATATAAAATAATGGACGACGTTTGACAGACACGTCAAAGCTAACTTCAGAAACCTTCAAAGCATAGTCTTAAACTTGATTTGAAACCTAAATCAAAACCTCAGTTCCTTCGTGTTCATAAGTATCCTCCTTAACAGAAATATTCAACAATTTCCATTCTTCATTATCAGTATAATGTTGAAGTGAATGTTCTGTGTGCGCATGAAGACGGATCTTCTCTTTTCCGTAGGCCCATGAGGCTATCTGGAAAAATCTTATATTTTCATATATTAACAATTATTATACTTGTAATGCACATCGTTGATCGTCCAGAGGGAAGTGTCTGATGTTGATTTCACAAGACACTGTATGCACTGCTGGATGACTGGCAACGATTGTTCCATTCGAGGATATTCGAACTGGCGCTCGAACCGACGAAAGAAGATCTTCGTGTTCCAGCCTGGAAGGTTTAACCCTAAGTTTGGGTACTGCGCCCCTATCGAAACTTGAAAATTTTCTAGTTATATATTATTGCAAAATAAGGTTTTTGAGTTTCGAATTTGTTTTCGCTGACTTACATATTGAATATTATGATATCTGGGAGCCAGATTTTGTCAATTGGCAACCACGTCTTCTGGATTCCTCCAAAAAGCGCTGGATCCCAAGCAAGAGAAGGATCAGTCCATCTCTGAAATCATGACAGTTACTTTATAAGTTTAATAAGAGATACAACCTCTTCTACATAAATAAGAACTGTCATAGTTTGTTTGAGTTCATCAATTCCCAAAATATGAACTAATTCCATTTCATAATGTAAATCCAGAAGACCATCCGGAGGAGCATTCATATTATGTCGATTCATAAGATATTCTGTTAATTTTTTGGATGATCCTGAAACGATTGTGAAGTTTTTTTTTAAAATCAGGTGATTTTTCCTCCTTTTTTTAAAATTTTTGTTTGTATTTCAGAAAATTAGATGTAAAATGAGCTTGAAACGATCCCATTTTCTCATTAAGCTGTTAGGTTCATCCCATCATTCCCAACACATGTATCTTGCTCATCTTTGAAAATTCACTTTTATTTTCAAGAGATCACAAAAGTCTTAAGCTTAGTACGGAATGTAAGGATTAGGATGAAGCTATGAAAGATGAAGAAATTTCTGAACAAATAGGAGAAAGCAGAGAGGAAACGAAGAAAAAAAAAGAAAAGAGTAATTGGATAAAATATTACACGCGCAATGACCTATTGTACTCTCGGGACAGAAGGTTTTGACATTTTAAATTATTCAACTTTTATCTTTCCTTTCACACTAAGCATTTCAAACTCTTTTCTAAAACGTTTGAACAGCTCTTTCTGACACATTCCTTGAACTCTCAACTTTCAAAAAATTTATTTTCTTCCGCTTCTTCAAGCAAAATGCCAGTTGGAATATCAGAATGAAACATCTCAAAGTTAAGATGAAAGCTCAGAAAATCTAACCTGGCACTACATTTTCCATTTGACCATCATAGCTCACTGTTGTTAACTGTAATCAATTATAAGATATTGATGTTCTGAGAAGTAGCCTTACCTGTACTGCTGGTAATCCAATATCGTCTTGTACTGTACATAGAGTTAAAGGAATGAACAAAAACAAAATTATCATATTTGCTATTGAAAAACTGAAATGAAATATGATTAAGTCTGACTTAGATTAGTTAACGATTTATCAAATACGGTAAGGTGAGAAAGTTGTGATTAACTCATGCGACCGGTCAGGAGATTGACAGATATAAGACTGGTGAGCAATCGAGAAACTGGTGTGCTGAGCGGTAGAGATGAAGAGAATTTCGTGAGGAAAACGGTGCAAAAGGTGATTATGGCCGGAAGTGATTGGATGTGATTGTAACTGATGAATAAAGAAAAGAAGAGGATGAAAGAGGATGTTCGCAACTGGTGCAATAGCCATTAATACATAGAGAGTGAAGAACAAATGACACGCCCTCCTATCTCTGTTCACCATATGCCTCAAGTCATTTTAGCGCAACGATAGAGGATTAGATGAGAATGAAACGAAAATTGAAGAACTAAGAAATAGATTAACAGGAGAAAAGTAAAAATTATTTCAGTACAGAGCAACATACCTCCCTCCCACCTTTACGACTTATTCAACTCTCACAGTATAGCAAAATAATCAAAAGATCAACTGATTCCATGAACTTCACCATTAATCTCATCCAATCTCAAGTTTAACGCCAGGACATTGTAATTACAGGAATATCTTCTTACCTCATATACTCTGCAATTATAGTGAAACCGCGTGATTTTTACTTTCCACTTTTTCTCAAACACCAATTTAACTAATGGGGGGATTGAACAACATAAACGAATCACATCCCATTGTACGTCTGTTGCTCCCTTAATTTTATTATTTTTGTTAAATTTTTATTTCATTTTTTATTAAAAATTTTGATCTTGTCACTTCTGCCCACACTGCAAGCCGGCTTCATCCCCAGGGATTCTGGAAGTACCAACTTCTGAAACAGCCAACTCGTCTCATCTTTGTTTTCCATTTTTTTTCTTCCTAAATTTCGAAAAAAAAAATTACAAATTTTGTGTTTATGATGCACAAATATTTGTTCCCTTTAACTCACTCTCTCGTATTTTCGCTTTCTCTTTGTATCACTCTCTCTCTCTCTTCTTGCTCATTCCGTGTGCAAGAGCACATTTGAGAATCATCTTCATGCAGCTACCTCTGAATATTCATTCAAATTAACAGCTGATTTTCAAGCTTAAGCAGGTAGATGAGGGAGTGAAAGACCACAATAGTTGTTGAATACAATTTATATTGTAAAGTTTTATTATTTACATGTAGAACGGGGAAGTTTTTATGAAATTATTTATTATGTATTGAAATGTTTTTGTATTCTAAATATTCCTTTTTTCATTACAATATGTACTTTTTGGCGAATGTTTAATGGTGATTTATAAATATCATTTCTCTTTGTTCTAAGCTCTCATTGCAAGCTTCAACTTCAAGATAGCATTTACCAATTGAAGCTCTCTCATTCTGCTTCTGTCTTTCTATTTCAATGAAACCGAAACAAACATATTTTTTTCCGTGCTATTTGTGTTAAAAATAAAATAAAAAAAAAACAACATTTCGATTCAGCTATTGGATCTCTGCACATCATTCTCCTATTGAATTTCGCTATAAATTCTCATTTGAAGATTTCATCTCCTAATACGGCTGATGTTAGAGAAATATAGATCAGAAACTATCATATTAATGATTAATAAGATGTTACATCGTTTCTTGCTCTTTCACGATCCCCTTGAGACTGATTATTCGCTTTCGTTTTTCCAAATCAAAACATATCTTTCGATAGTTCCTTGCTTATCTCTCAACCCCTCTCCACCCTACCCCCTATTCCGGAATGTTCGTATAGAGTGTCAAGTTGAAATCGTAATATTTCCGTCAAACTTATTTATTTTTTTCTGTGTTTGATTGCATAAGTCTTCGCGTATCTGCCCACCAGCATGCATGTCACGTAAATCACGTAATATTCATTTTTGAATACATGACATCATTTTTAGTTTAAACAGACGCACATAGCGGTTGTATTTCCTTTTTCTCCTCCCTCCCACAGTTTTATTTCAGCTTTTCCCACATTTCTTCATTCATTCAGCTTTCCTCTCACTTATTTTTTTTTCATTTCATGCTGATTTGTAAGCGGAAATGAAAAATTATTTCCCGATATCTTGATTATTCTAGCGACATAATCCAAACTCTCTCTGACATCATTATCATTCGCTTCTTGCTGTTCACTCTTTGCTAGTATCTGTGTTTCCCCAGTAGTTATAATCATGATAATCATTGAGTAGTTACTGAATGTTCAAATGTATTCATGATTCAAGCCGAATATTATTTTTTCAAAATAAGGATAGCACGAAAAGAAAAAGCGAATATTTTCATCCTGAAGAGATGAAGCCAAATGTGCTATACCATTATTCTGACTGCATCCACCCTCACTGCCACCCTCGCATGACCCATATTAGTCAATTTTTTCCATCTTTTCCACTCTCTCACAAATGCATATATTCTCTCGTAACAGCTAGAGAACTATAAAATGTATACATTTTGGGAGAGAAAAAGATGAAAAAGTAAGGAAAAATATAAAGAATAACGCTAAGAGATGAGAGAGAAAAAGAAAGACAGCTTTGAATTTCCAATAGCGTCCAGCCCTGACAATTGGGAGTTGTAAGAATAAGCTTTGAAGGATACTTTACTTCTTCTTCTTCTGTTTTTGAATCTCTTTTTCTCTCTCTTCATTCAATTCGAATTCCATTGTTATTGTTATATTATTATTATTATTAGTATTTCGTTTACAGAATTATAATTCTTACATGCATATATGGTTCGCATCGGAGTAGTAGCCATCAATTATCATAACTGCTCAAACAAATTAATCATTTTAAGTATTAAGTAGAAGAAAAAATAAAGTTAATTATTCAAAAAAGAGGTACAGAGGGAGTGATGAAGTAGATATATACAGAGAGAAAGAGAGAGAGAGAGAGAGAGCAATGAGAAGTAAAAATAAGAGAAAATTAAAGATAGTTTATCATGTGATCTATGATAAAATTATATTTGCTTTTCGATTAAAACACGTAAATGCTTTGATTAACCGTTGAAGTCAATTATCATGCTCCATCAACTCAAACATTTTCTATCTCACGTTTGAGTTAATGCTTTTGCTACTTCAAATAATCATTTCATTGCTACTGTTTGACAATCTACTGTCTACAAGATGGCTTCTCTGTTAAAGCAGTAAAAACCTTCATATTCATGATCATCTTCGTTCTAGTTATCTTTCCTACTTGATCTCATACAAGAAACAAAAAACCATTTTTTCATAATATTTATTCCGATTTGTATTCTACCTACGTCACAGTCTACTGATTAATCGTTCATGTTTCTACAATTCTGTTTTTTTTGTTTTATCTCTTTTTTTATGTGCGTCAAGATTCAAATTATCATTCGTGTTATTCGGATATGAACTTCCATTCCCACTCCCCCCCCCCTCCCCTTTTTAGTTCTCAGAACTGGGCAACTGAGACACGATTGAAAGCTGGACAGAAAGAGAGGGAGAGAGAAGGAGATGAATGCAAGCGCTTGTACCGAAGAACATCGGAGAATAAAGTGCGGATATCGACTCGCGTGAACATCACGTGATGCTGTTCTCACGTGGGTACATATTCTGATATAATATTCCTTGTACGGAGAGATATTGAACAATTATCATTAAATACTTTGATTGTTTTACTCATTAGCGTACATTTGATCAGCTTGACCTTTTGCGATCATAGAGGTCGCTATGAACGCGGCTGGTTCAGTCATTGTGGTGAAGAAGAGGTCAAGCAAACCCATCTCATCCAATTGTGAGAGATCATTCAGAATAAAAATTGGTCTCATACAGAATTAGTTGATCACATCAACATATATGTACATATAACTTAGTGAAACAGTGCTCAACGTTGTTTTTGCCATGCATCCATAAGTTATGCTTCGAACTTCTTGAAACTTGAACTATTTCCTAATTAAAAATTTTAATATTTTTTTCATTGTTTTTCATACTTTTCGTACGAATAATATCAGACAAAATACATATGTTGACATATAAGAACCAGTTTCCCGATCTACATGTCCGATTTCGGCGAAGTAGAAGCCGATTCAGCCAGCAAATGCAAGAGATTGAAGATGATGAAGGCACATGATTCATCAAACACTTTTTAGTCAACGAAACTATTCAATTGGAAACTTTCATTTTATTTCATAATTTTGCTTTTGTAACTACTATTTTCTTTTATTCTCCTCCTTTCCTGCTTCTCACTCTCTCTCAATCTCTCTCTTACTCTCTCTCACTCTCTCAAGCCAATTTATTATCCTAAAAAAGATTTAATCAATAATTTTTGGTAAAACAAAATGCTCAAAAAGACATCTAGTGAGCCGAATAATTAGATTCTATCGTTCAATGCTTCTGTTTCTTATTCAATCTGATGCTTTTCCATGTTCGTTCAAGCTTGCTCATTTCTTATCCAATCGTCAAAAAAGTCTCTCTCAATTGCTTTTTACATCCCATTTGACTATTTTTCGAACTTAAACTTTTCCATTTTCACTGCCCTATATTCATGTATTCTGGAAGAAAACAACGTACGTAGAACAAATGATTTAGGTGAACGCTTTGCATAAAACAGATGAGCTGTAAGTTCATTGTCACGTCATTCACAAAGTCAATGACCAAACAAACTCATTTGCACAGTCAGGATTAAAGAAGTGTTGTGTTGTTAAAAACTTATCACTTCTTTCATTCGTCAACATTCTTAAAATGGGAATGATCTGATAAATGATATGAAACCCCGTAATTCGAATCAGTCTGAACTTGAGAGACAATCATTCCTCATCGCTTCGCTCAGCACACCTTTCGCATCATTCTGTCTTCCCATTATCATTCATTTATGTGAAACAAAAAAAAAGTGATGAGAAGTAGTTCCTTTTTCTCATTTCTGCCATTTCGTTTCTTTGAGCAAGAAAAAAATGAAAAAGAAAATAAGAAAATAATCACAAATAGCCTCATTTGTAGTGGAATTACTTGATATTTTCGTTATTTGCCGACTCTCTCTCTCTCTCTTTCTTCATCTCCTTCAACGTGCAGAACGTTTTTATTTCTCCCTTTTTACAAATTATTTCATATTGAATTATCAATAAATTCAATTAGTTCTTCTATGAGATAAGCTGTGTCAAAAAGCTTTTAAACAAGAAATAAAAAATAAAATGTTCAGAGATTGAATGATAAATTCAAATTTTCATTTTTAAAATTTCCTCATTTATCCATGAATGACATCATTTTTCTTTTTTTTTTCTCCTCCTTCTCTTTTTCCTACTCATAATCTTCTTAAAGTCTTCAATTTCTTTCTACATTTTCAACAGAATCTGTCTCCCTTTGTAAAGATGAAACATGACACTTAACGTTTAACAGGTTTCTTTTCAAGCTTAAACTTTTCCTTTTTTTTTCCTTCAGTTTACAACCCCCTTTGAGCTTATCTTTAAGCTTTAAGCTTATCTCACGTCTTTTTGTTTTAAACAATACATTTATTTTTTCATACTTTTTCTCTTAAAAAAAAGCTTTTTCGACTCAAAGAAGAAAAAATATTGTTCAAACGATGAATCATTCCCTCCGGTAAAGGCAGAAGAACCTTTTCCGATGTATGCTCTATCGTTTGACTCTCTCTTTCTTTCTCGGTTGTTCCTCTCCATCCCAACGAGATTGGTTGCTAAGACAGATATAGAAAAGTCGAAGTTATTGTGTCTTCCGGACGACCGTTTTTTTTTCTCTCACATATTGTCTTTTCTCTTTACATACCTTACAATCGTTTTCGTGTTCGGAAAATATTATTTTTCTTGTCTTTCAGATGATATGATTGGTCAAAGAATAGAAAAGATTTTGCGGAAGCTTAGATTGAGCAAAGACAAAAAACTGAAAGTTTCGAAGAAAAACAAGAGTGACAAGAAAAATAAGAAAGAAGTTCAGCTGCCTGACGCTGTTTGGTAATCTATATGATGCAAAGAAAAAGATTCTAATCGAGTGTTTCTCTTTTAAGGTCTCGCATATTCGATTTTTCATCTCCATTCGACGTAGCACGATGGAGGACTGTTAGCCGACAATTCAATCGAGTCGCTGAAGAGCGAAATCAACAATTGCTCTATTTGGATATTTTACGAATTGATATAAATGCTATTTTGCCTCAAAATATACCCAGTGATGGTATGCATATCATTATTCAAAATATATTACTTAATTATCTATTTTAGGTGATTTCTTCCGTCATCCAACTACTCAAATTCTAGCTCATAGTGAACGTCGATCTCTACTCTTAGCTGTACATAGTCATTGGACAGTAAATGATGCTATACGGTTATTACAAATGATTCGGCATTTTGGACAATTTGCTGCCACGGTGACGGTAAACTTGTTTCCTCAATTACGTTTCGCTAATCTTCTACTGATTTGCAGTTGGACGTAGCTGTAGCTGAGCTTTGTGTCGCTGGACAATGCACAAACGATATCCGATACTGGTTTACTTTTCAAACGATAGCAGCTGGAAGTGAAGGAACGCCTGACAGACCAAATATGAAATTGGTGAGATTATTTGAAAATATGAACTACATTATCCTTTGTTCTCAGTGATTTGATGATTAATGTACTAGTTTCAGACACCAAGACCCGGCTGGTTGCCAAAGTCATCAACATTTCCAGTAACGATGAATGGCGAAATGAATAAATTACCGAGATGGAATCCGAGAACTCAACGAATTCCAATAGGACCCATGTTCCCGAATGCCAAAGAGGTGAGTTATGAAAGATTAAAGTTTAATATAATCATTCGACATTTTGCAGATAACATTTCAAACATCCTTATCACAATTACGACGTCTTCGTCGTTTCTCTGTCTATGAAACGTCGTCAACAGCTCTTTTTTCTCCAGACGTTTTACAACTATTTCGACTTTCTATCACGGGTACGAAACAGTCGCCTCCAATCCCTCTACGGTTGATCTCTTTTATGGAATGGCTTAATACAGAGCGTCTAGGAGGAAAATATTGTACGCAATTCTCATGATAAAAAAATTCCATTCAACCTCGAAAATCGCTTAACAACTCACGGGTTATCTCTTTCCCTTCTCATTGTTTATAAGAAAGTTTTTACAATAACATCTTAAATTATTATTATTATTGTTATTATTACTTTGAATAAAGATTTTGACTCTGATATTCGAATGTCTATTCAAAAACTGAGAAGTGGATGAACGTTTACAATGAATGTCCATCTCTAGTGTTTGTTCACACAAAAAATGTTTTTTTTTATCTGAAGGTTTGTCTAAGACAGAAGCTTTTATATTTTTTTTTCCTCAAGGTCTCTCAGTCTTTTTTTCTAATCTTTTCAGCAAAAAAATGATTAAAATAAATAAATAAACGATGGTGCAAAGAAAAAAATTGCCAAAACCGGTGATTTCAAACTCTCAACGATACAAAATGATCTGTCTTGAGGTGTTGGAAGAAGAAAAAATGCGGATTGTGTTAGAGAAACTTTTTTTCACTGAATATCTAGTTTTTTTTTCTCCGTTAACTTCATTAATTCATATGCGATGTGTCATTAAGCCCAGACGGAGACAGGTTCAGAATAGTTCACGTACCTCACGCCAATATTAAATTCCAGTTTTTTTTGTGGAATTTCTTCACATTCATCCTTCCTGCTCACTATTGCGCATTTCGGAGCTTTTCTTAGTTTGTTTGACAGGAAATTCCGATTCGCACCTACGTAAAGCGAAACAGGCTTCGGCTCGCGCAAATATTGCCTCAGGCAGTAGGATATAAATGTGGCCAATGGCTAAGCAGACACAATCCAATTCGATTTGAATCACTTCTTTTAATCATGAATTCCATCAGGTACTTTGAAGAGTTATGATTTATAAACATTCTCATTAATTTTCAGCTTCCTTGTTGCTCTTTTCGGAGTATGCTCTGCCCAATATGTTGCGTGGCCAGCTTCTTCATACAGCCCATACTATGCTCGCTATTACAGCGCAGCATTGGCACCTGTAGCTGCTAGCCCTGCATTTGCTGCCGCTCCAGCATTCGCTGCCCCAGTTGCTGCCTCACCAGCTCTTGCTCAACCAATCGCTGCCGGACCAGCTTTGGCTGCCGCTGCTGCCAATGGAGCTCCTATCGCCTACAGCGCTCCCCTTGCCGCCCCAGCTTACGCTGCCCCAGTTGCTGCCGCTCCAGCCTTCGCCGCTCCTGCCTACGCCGCTCCAGCTTACGCTGCCCCAGCATATGCTCCAGGCCCAGTAGCCGCAGCCCCAGCTCTTGCCGCTCCAGCTTATGCTGCTCCAGCCCTTGCTGCCCCAGCTTACGCTGCTCCAGTTGCTGCTGCTCCAGCTCTTGCCGCCCCAGCTCTTGCCGCCCCAGCTCTTGCCGCCCCAGCCCTTGCTGCCCCAGCTTACGCTGCTCCAGTTGCTGCCGCTCCAGCTTACGCTGCCCCAGTTGCTGCTGCCCCAGTAGCTGCTGCTCCAGCTTTCGCCCCAGTAGCCGCTGCTCCAGCTTTCGCCCCAGGTGCTCCAGCCCTCGTCCCAGCTTATGCTCCATTCCAAACAACTGCTTATTTCATTGGATCCAACAAGGCTAAAACTGAATCTGTCAAAGCTTAAATTTGATTGATTTTAGCCAAGCGAAATTTTTTCTTTCTGTACATTTGAGAACAACGAACAGTTTTCTGTATGCATACGAATAAAGATACCATTCTTTTCTGAATTTGTAGACAATCCTTATACTATCACAAACTGTTCATTGTAATATTTATTCTACGTTGTAGTATTACTACTCACAAAAAAACAAAGACGTTAAAAGCCTATAACAAGCTTTCAAACTCAAAACGTCTTTCACATCAGGAGATCCTAAAGTTAAGTATCGAAAACAAAACCAAAAAAAAGGAACGTGGTGAGTGAAAAGAACCAACGAACATCATCTATTCAAAAACTTATAATCACAAGAACTCTTCCTAATCATCAAGTTATATTTCCTTGGGTCTTAGTCTTAGTACGATATCTATAGTCCTCTTGGTCCTGTTTTTCGCCTAGGACTCGCTTCCATTTAGCTAACTACTTTTTCTGAATGTGTGCGCTGTTTTCATTTCAGCACACTGACTCAGTATAACATGATTCTTAACTGGGACAATCTTTAAAAATTCTGTATCGGTAGAAGACTTTCCTAAGTTTGAAATTACTCATGTAACAGAATGTCTCAGAAATGATACAACAAGTAAATATCTTCTCCATACGTTTAACCGTTCAGTAATTTATCTGGATTCAGCATGAGCATGAGTGAGCCAACAACCAATCCATCAAGATTTTTTAAGAAAAATAAAAATTATCTTGTTTTTAAGTTTTAAAAAAAATGGGATTATTGGTCGGATATGATGTGTTCATCTATTAAACGCGTTAATCGTCTGTCATATTTCGTTTGCATGAAAGCTTTAGATGAACATAACATCTGTGGTAATGAAGCATCAATAAACTCTTCATTAATTTGGTTTAAATCAAATGACCGACGCAAAAGATCAGAAAACGTTGTAATTAAAGCAAAACATCCAACACTACGGATAAACTTAGTTTGATTAACAAGAGTTAAATGAATGAAGAAAGTGATTCTATAGAAAATCAAACAGTTGTACATATATTTCAGTTATTTCCTCATTCAAAATATAAAATGGGATCTCCATAGCAAGTTGTTTAACGCAAATTCTGAGGACTGGATATGGAGAGTTGTGATATAGGCTGATAGCACGTGTTTTTCTTTACTCTAGAAGAGGCCCAGAGGTGCATCGTATACCGAGAAACAGTGAGAAATGTACTTTTACCATGTCCAACATAGTGAGCAACAACTGTAGACGCTGATCATTGAGACAAGACCTTAAGTACAGTCCATCCATATATTTTTCATTCTATTTCAAATCTAATGCATGAGTTTTGATCGGATCACGAAGGAAAATCCTTTACGAGTTCTTCAGTGTTGTTTAATTGTTGCTTTTTATACTTTAGAGGGGTCAGGATTATACAAGGTAGCAAGAATATTAACGAAATAAAATTAATCCAGTGGGTTAAATGCTTTACGGGGAAAATTTACATCAGCTTGAAGTGCCTGTGCTGAGCATTGTACAACGATAAGGAACGATCCTATCCAAAAGCACAACAAGCGGACACTCACAACTGTATAATTTGTGCCGATCAGAAAAACAGATCAAAAACTTTGAACGTTCAATTCCTATCGTAAAGACGTGTCTGCCAGCTGGTCGCGAAAATTCCAGCCAAGCTGAAGGGTGGTGAAGATCAATGCTGCAAAAACGATAGCTGTGCTCGCTTTCAGATACTTGCTTGGGGGGCTCTGTCTTGACAGCTGATGATGATACGGTATTAACAATGCTCCCCCCAGAACCTATTCTATATCTCGCTCTTATCCCATTCTAGTATGTTGTTTATCTTACACTTTGATGAATATGCATTATTTTCCCACTCTGGGCAAGTGAAACATCTCGAAATAAATTCTTCTTCCTTCCCGAAATTTGTGTCGCAACGTGCGTCAAAAACTACTTGTTGATTGAGAAAGAGGAAATTGATGTTCGGTTGCCCAAAATGTCACTGCGGACCAGTGTTAACAAATCATTTGATTGATTTCTAGGATTGCGTTATGCGGACTGTTTTTTCATTTTACTTTTCTTTAGAATTGTTTGTCCCAGAACAAATTTTTAATGAAAATTAAGAACTTCAACAGCACATACAGTGTGCGTCACTTAAGAATTGTTTTATCTATTCAACTGTCAAACAGTTTGTATTTGATTCAAAATAAATATTTTTAATGAAAAACGTAAAACAATAATCTAAACGTTAAGAGAGAAACAGATTCGAAGCGGAAAGGAGTGTTCGCAAGAGGGTTTTGAATATATTTATTCATTATCATACGTCCGAATGTACCAAATATAGGAGAGAAACCAGGTAAAGATAACAGAGAGAGAGGAATGGATAGGTATAAGAGAGTAGACGAGAGAAAGAAAAAGAGAATGGCAAAACAGGGTTTTGTCGAACATCGAGATAGCCAGTCAAGAGCATTAAGCAAGAGACCATTCAGTCTGCAAGAGGTAAGACACACATTGAACGGAATGCACATTATTCTCTCAAGTTTCAATTGTATCTCACGTCTCTCCTCTTTACTGTTTTAACAATCATCTTTAATCCTATTTCTCTTTATTCGTTCATTCTTTCTCTCACTCCCTCTCTACCTCTTCCCCTCTCTCTCTCTCTTCACAGACCAATTACTTCCAACTCCACCTACAGCAAAGTTCTTTCTATCTTTAATTCTCATCATTTTTAAAACTTGTACAGTTCTGTAAAGTTTAGACTAAAATATTTCATTTAATTACTTTTGAAATCAATAATGCAAAAGAAAATAAAACTTGTTGTAGTCGGTGACAGTTATGTCGGGAAAACCAGGTAAACTTTCACTGTTTCATCTCATCTCTTTGAAATTTTTTTTTTCTGATTCTCATTCACTTTCATTGCAGTTTGCTATTCGCTTATACAAAAAAAGAATTTTCACAAGCATATGCCTCAACAGTATTTGATAATTGGGAAATAAATGTTTCCATAGAAGGAGTCAAAAATGGGCTTTACACTGTTAATCTATTTGATACAGCTGGTCAAGTACGAGTTTGAGTATCTGTCTATCTCACTGCAATACTATCTGTTTAGGAAGATTATGATATCTTACGACATATGAGTTATCCAAACACTAGTGTATTCCTCGTTTGTTTTTCATTAGTTGAACCAGGTAGCTTGGTATGTTCTATACATTATACATTCAACATCTTTATTTTTCTTTAAGAAAGACTGCGAAACAATTTGGTTGCCCGAAATACGGAAATATCAGGGGGAGAACGTTCCCATAATCCTTGTTGGCACAAAAGAAGATTTGATAGATTCAACTGATTCTAGAAAAGTTGTTTCTCTCAATCAAGCTGCAAAAGTAGCTTCTGAGGTTACATTTTCCTGTTCTTCTATTGAAAATTCAATTTTTTTTTCATTTTCAGCATGGCTGTTTCAAGTTCTTGCCATGCTCAGCATTAACTCATAGAGGTTTGAAACGGGTATTCGATGAAGCTTTTCTATTAGCAATCGGAAAACCCGTAACAGAAGATAGGAACTTACGTTGCACTATACTCTAGCGAATTTTGAATTTTCAAATAATATTCAATCAAACTTTTTCTCTGATCAAATAGCTTGAAATTTTAGGCATTTTGAACGATATCTTATCAGCCCTCACCTTATTATTCAATTAATTAAAACAATGGGTATTCTGTACATGTATAATGTATAATCATATATTTATACTTTTTGAATAATCGGTGCTTATCCTTTTATAATAAAATATTTTTCCAGAATATTGTAAACCCTAGTGCTTTCATCATGCTCTCTAATTCCTGTATCAAACTCCTGTGTACATGCATCATAACTATATCTAATGAGCAATTTCATTTCATTTTTTCGTGAAACGAGATGAGATACGGTTGTTCAGGAAGTTATCAAATTTGAGATGGACTTCTACTTTCCTTTTCCTGAAGGCCACACGTCTTCGTAGTATCTTGCCCATGGCCCCTACGACTTTTTCAAATATAATTGAACTTGTGCTTTGTATAGATTAGTATTTCAAAAAACTGATGTCATTCTCAGAGTTCTTTCGTACTTCGTTAACATAAATAAACAATTTTTTATTCATCTCATACCTACGATGCGACATAGTTTCAAGAGTTACAATATGAATAATACGAGTACGAATCATCACTAAGCAATAAAAACTATAAAATCTCATTTTAATAAAAAATCTGTGTTATTCATCAATCTTAAAGATATGATTTAAAGAACGTTGAGGCAATAAAGCATTTTTCTGATGTGGTTTTACCGTGTCCGTAATCGAATCCAATCAAGATTTGTCGCTTTGATTCTCTTTTATTGTTAAAGAGCTGTTATGCTAAGATCTTGTTTATTAAGCTGCCCTACAGGCTTCATTATCGTCTGGAGTCGTGAGCTGTTTTTCTGATTTGCATCTAACAGATTAACTTCTGCTTGCCATCGCTGTCGGGAAGGACGGGTGATGTCATTTGTGCTTGTAGCATCATCTCCCCAACCACTATCACCATCGTCATCAGCTAATGAAATTGTATTAGTTGGATCAAAACAGCCAGAACTCCAATTAAGGTTTGGAAGCTGGCGCTGGGAAAGAGGTTGCCATACAGGTGAAATGCGATCATTTTCTGAAAAAGAAAATGGATCATTGAAGCATGAGGTTAATCTAAAAGAATTAGGAAGTTCTTTGTTTTCTCTCTTTGATTTGTATTTCCGCATTCATGGGAAAAGAGATAGGATAATCTTCTTACCCATGTCAACGGCTGTTTTTCCATTTTCGGTTATGACTGTTGTTGTTACAGCTTGATAAGCTCCTTGACGATCACGCTGACGAATGAAACAACAACAATATTCTTGTCTTATTAAGCGTAGGAGGTGAGCACCGTGATGTCTGTAAGAAAGGACAAGCCGTAATGAAAATAATGACATTAGGTTTACTGGAAGCATTCTCGATAATCCTTGTTGAAAATCATGTAGATTACACAGTTAACAGAAGAATTGAATATGACTAAGAAATTTGAAGCATCAGATAATAAATTGACGACTAGTGGATCAGGAATAGAGAATGTCTCAATCATATTCACAACGAGTGCCTGAACGACGTTCATTATATTCGAAATAATTAGTTTTCGCACCAGGGTGTTGCAAGCCAGGAATAAGATGACAACCATGATCATAGTGATAGTGTCATCTCCAGCTGCATCATCGGCTTTCACTCGTATCGAAGAGGCTTGAGTGGAGTTGCTGGATATACTGGGTGAAACAGTGTAAAATCATTGATGAATAATTACCTGTCTTTGCTCTTCTTCCTTTCCAAACTTTGACGACATAGTATAATAGCGTTGAGACAGAGAAGAAACAAAAATGGTAATAATGTCATGAGAACCATATACATATAAATATTATAAATAACATTTATTGTGAAGAACAAAGACGTAGGGCAAATTTCTATGATGTGTTCCTGCAAACGGATGTTTTTTAGATACGGCTAACATAACTTAAGGGTCCAAATTAGCTTCAGACATGAATTTTAGAGATTATATCTAAATACCCAAATTCATAATACGCACCTGACTGGCTTCATGGAAGCATTTCCGAAGATTAAATTGAGGGAATCGCAATGAGTTATACATAATAGAGATAACTATTACGGTGAAACAAATTTTCTTGGCTTGTCGTACCGTGCAGTAGTTCTTGGACAACGACTTCCAACATACCTGAAGCAGACCTATGAGAGAGTATGATAATTCAGAAACTACGTTGATGTAACAGTCGAATGCTGCAGCGACTGTGAAATAAATACTACAAGATTGAGCCATATATCCAAATGGTAAAGTGTATACGGTGGTATATGGAGCTCTTGCTAACTCAGGGATGTATGATCGAGCGGAATCTGAAAGATCAAACAACCATGTGTATATGACTGCCAATATGAAGTGAACATACCTATCCAAAAGATAAAAAGACCCGTCACAATTACCAAAAAATCACTACAAGCCAAGAAGAGCAAATATGTGTTCGCTGAGGTCCGTAACCTGAGATTTTAGGGAAGTTAGTGTTTGTAGCTGAGAAGATGGAAAAAACCTTTTTCTTGTGAATAAAAAGACATTTATGATATTTGTGAAAACACCAAAAACCGATAAAGAAGGTAAGGCTATAATGATGAGCAAATAGTTGTACCTGAAATAAACTCAGTTCAATTCAAGAAGTTTGAGAGATAGAGAGCAGGAGGGAGAATTGCTTTTGAGAGTAATTGGAATAGTATTAAATGAACTAAACAACTCAATCATTTGCTATGCTCTCAATGGATTCACCAAAAAAAGTACTTACCAAGCATATAATGGAGAATAATCTTCTGTTTGGAGATCAGAACACATACAAACAGCTCTATCAATTACATCTGAGATATTCTCGGCAGATGCATTCACCTCTTGCATTATACTGAAACGAATTTGATGAACTTTCATCATATTTCAAAAATAGAAAGTTAAATGCTTTACTTATCTCCCCATCACGGAAGAATATGTGATGAACACACTTACTTGGCTTTGTCAGCCTACATGAACAACTGAACATCTCTCGGGAATCGTTTATCAAACATCATACTGAGCTTTCATATTTCACCCTGACTCTCTCCTTACAACTTCCTCTCTCTCCGTTCTCGTCCTTAGAGCTCGATAAAAACCTGGTTTCAATACAATTCTGTTTGTATTAATCATCTCATTCAAACTATTCCTTTCAATGTTTTTCTGTGAGTGGCAAATTGGACATTAAACGTTCTGAGTTTCAACTTTCGAACTTTTTCTGGCTTTCATCCTTTCTGTTTCAGCACCATCATTTCACCTTTCTGATATTTATTTCTCTCTTTATGATTCTCTCTTTCTTTTAAGAGCTTAATATAGACTCTACACAACTATGTCAAAAACAGAAATTTGGTTTGAGCGGAAAATATTTTCAACTTGTCTGACATGAATAAACATTTGAATGGTTCGTTAACTTACTCAGGAAATATTGGAATCATTCCCGGAAAGGTAATCGTCCTAAGATCGTCTGCTGTCATCATTCTACTCGTGAAAAGATTTTTGAAATATATTTTAAAAAAGAAATTGAAGAGAAGAAATCAGCGTAAATCTACTTATGCACTTGGAACAGAAACAACAGCAATTGACTCGGAAAAATATGAAGAAGTATTTTGTTATTCAATCAATTACATGAAAATAAAATGATGAAGAAGTCTTGAATCCGTTCTGTTGGAAACAAAATGCGACCGATCGGTATTGTCGGTTTCCACCGAATGATTTCGACGTCACAGGATCGGAAAGGAATTTACGTTTTCTAATGAATTATAGATAAAGATTAAATAAAAAAGTTTGTTTTGAATAGAAACGATTGAGGTTGTCAATTTATTCACATCTAAGATGTTTGAGGAACTAAATAATTCATGAGAATAAAAAACTAAGATGATATCCCAGGCTCTGAGCATATGCCATTTTATTAGAACAAAAATGAAAAATTTTTTTCTCTTGATAGACGATAAAGCTCAAATAGCGCTCAGAGAGGACATGATGATGAAGAAAACATTCAGTAGTTCCAACCAGAGAAAAAAAAATAGAAAGACAATAGGAAAAGAAGGAACATCCATGTGATAAATCGAAAGCTAAAAGACATCCTTTGAGGATTCCGTGTCTTTAAGCACCGTTTACTATCGAGGAGAGTGTTTCAACGAAAGAAACAAAATGTAGAGAGATCAGTTAATGCGGGAATAGGCATGAAATGAGTCAAGCTAATTGCTCAACTAATGGTATAATATGTATCATTTATCAACTACAAAGACCGGATATGTAAATGAGAAGATACAGCTTGTTGAACTCATTGGTCAGATGAGTTATTCAGGAAGAATGGTTGTTTCTAGATGATAGCAGCAAGTCGGGAATCGGAAGCAAAGCAAGCTTAATTCTGAATTTATATAGTTCTATGTCGTCAAAATAAGAGATTCTCTCGAGATACATGTGAAGGGAAAAAAAAGTGAAGCGTATTGACAACGACGACATTCATTTTCTTCCCAGAAAGGAACAGGGAGGAGTCGTTGAAATACATTTTTTTATTTATTTTCATAGAATTTCTTAATATGATTTTTTCTCAAGTTATTGTTTTCGATTTTTTCTATAAGAACAGAATAAATTAAAAGTAATGTCAGAGTTACCAAGGACCAGTGAGCAATGGTTACAGAATGAACCTTAAATAGTTAAAGATGGGCTTAAATACGATAAAATAAATAGAATTGCTCTTCAATTTACTTTTTCATCAAATTGCTTCAATTGAAACTGTCTATACAAAGGTAATTGATGGAACTTAGAGAAGAAAAGAACTCATTTTCTTGCCAATTTCGAACAAATGATCAAATCCTTCAGCAAATCTTCCACAAAATGTCTTTACTTAACTATCTATTGAGAACAACTAGCTGTTTTATAATAGACTATGTGTAAATGTATCAATGTAATAGAAAATGAAAGAGAAAGAAGGGAATCATGAGAAAACGGATTGTCATAGTTGCTCTGATCAAGACATTTGCTTTATGATGATTGCAGAAAGAGCCACAGATGACAAGCACAAGAGAAATAATAACTTTCCGATGATGACGTCAAAAAACATTTTTTTCGAATATTTTTGGTTGAAAAAGAAAAAAATCAAATTACAAAAATGGTTGTTATTCTGTTTAAAAATAAAGTTTTTGATTCCAAGAGTCTCGAAATCAAAGTCGGTTTTCTCCATCTGGCATGAGAGTAACGTTTTTGGTGTGACTGAGCAAGTTACATCTAGCAACCTGATGTTATAACTCTCGGTGAGCAGGAATGAAGAAAGAAGGAAGCAATGTTTCAGTTAAAGAGTTAGAGAGGATCTGAAGAGGAGAGAACCTCGTAATCCCAATTTAAAACTGAAAAAAAACATCACAGAGGGAGAAGTGTTTAAACTTTTTATTTTTCAACAAATTGTTGGCTCTTCGAGGGAAATGCAACATGTAAGAGAGCATGGTTTCGTGAGTGAAGCATAGTTCGCAAAGCTGCATCAATTAGTTCACGCGATGAAGTTCAACAACTAAAATTACATTGTGGTGGATCAGAACAACAGCAAGTGGTTTTTTTGCTTGTTGTAGAAATCTTTCAGTTCATATAAACGGCAAGAATCGAAAGTAATTTTTTCTAAGAGGAACTTCTTTCACCTTCCGTAATTGGTTCAATTGAATTGTGAATACTCAACGTCTCCGCATGAGAAGGTGCCGAAGTTGTTTTTTTCCTTCATATTTTTAAAAATGCCTGAAGGGAAAAGTTGCGCTCTCTATGATCTGGTTGAGAGATTGAACATCTGGAATAGCAGTGAAAGTTTGTTTTCAGCTACTAGTAAGTTCTAGTCAACTATGGAACGCGGAACTGGAGGAAAGTACTTGGAAGGTATGTAACTAATTAATTATCTCGTACAGTTCATACTTTGAAACTAATATTTATGCGAAACATTGCGGAAACGATAACTGAAAATCAAAAATAAACGAAGATTCATGTTTTTAGTTAAGAAACTGTTTTCAGTTATGCAATTATGATATTTCATCCGCTATAAACAAGAGCTTCTAAAAATTACGAAAACAAGGTTGAAAAAGAGAATGAGTAGAATTCATTTTGTACTGGAAAACCATACTTTTCGGTCGGTTCAAGAGAAGCACATGAAATCATTTTGCATAGAATTAAGATGCTGAGCGGTCGTTCAGCCCTAGCTGATTAATTCAGAGGGCACATATTCATCAACCAATTCTCATTATCGAATCAATTGCACTCCAACCATCTTCTCTCTTACGAATGAAATTGGATTCAGTCATAATTCATGATGAGCTTGAACTTTATTATTTCAACGTCAATTGAATTAAAATAAAAGTTTGTTGTTTGCGAAAGAATCATAATTCAAAAACAGTTTTATATTCTTCATATCTGTTTATTGAACGAAGAAAAATGCTGGAAAAGAATATTGGTTCTGGAGATGAAGAATGAATCTTTCATAATCAAGAGCTGTATTATGAATAATTAAAAAAAATAAATTATGAAGCAAAATGGATGAAAAAGCTTAATATGAACATCTGGAACATTCCCTCAAACTACCAGCTGAGAGAGAATTTTCATTAGTTCACGGATTTCAAATAGTTTCAGCAATTGCGCTATTCAGCGATCAAAGCAGCGCTCCATTCACGTATGATTCACCGCAAAGTATATCAATTATGACAAAAGAAAAACATATAAGGAATTTCCTCTTTAGCGCATTAATTTTTCGCTGAAGTATGAATGAAAGCCTTTTCATGTTCAGCTCTTCTGCTCTTCAATTTTTTCATTTTTGAGTTGCTATCTCTTCCTTTCGTGAGACCTTTATTTAACAATACCAATTCAAAATCAATTTAAAAACAAGAACGAGCTGAACTTTTTTCATCTTCTCGGGTTGTGAAGTGAATTGTCTCTGGTTCGCCGAGTTTACGCGCACTCTGTTGCGTACAAGAGGGCTCACTTCCTAAAGCCCGGAGGCTTTCAGGTGAGTATTCTACTGATGTCTGGTGTATGTGGCTTTCTACGTAGCCCTTCTTTAGTAAAAAAGTGAAAAAATCATAAAAAAAACGAGAACGAAAACTCAATCAAAACAGAAACACAACCCAAGCTTTATTTAAATTTCAACGTTTTGTAAGTAGGTGTGTGTTCTGTTTGATCGTCTTTCACTTTTAAATTCAAAAAAATGTGAGAAAGCTTGAGAATAAATTCTTTTCTCTTGTCAATGAATCTATGTCTCAAATGATCTTAAAATATGTTATATTAAGTACATTTTTAAATGGCAGATAAATCTTTCTTTTTTGTTTCACCCAAAACATACACATAACTTCTGAGATTTCTGTTATTCATCATGACGTAGTTATCTCTCCTGAGATTTCATGTGAAGAACTTCAAAAGTACATTTGTTATAGTTTTTTGTTTTGTTTGTTTTTCACACATAATTATATAGTAAAAACAGCTGCTTACAATCAATTATTGTTTGTGCCAACTTCGTTTTTGATTATTATTGTTGTTCTTCACGCTCGTTGTCATGTCTTGTTGGGTGATGAGACGAGAGGAGAGAGTAACAAAAAAGAAATATCAACATACCTCTAAGATGTATCGTATTCCAGCTTTCCGGATAGTCGTTCGTTCTGATTCCAATATTCAGTAACCTATTATAATCAAAATATTTATAAAACAGTAGAAAGTGAGGGAAAAGCATTGGTCTGGGAAAATGCAGGAACGAATAGCAAAGGAAAGATTAAAATCCATTAAGGTTCGTTGCAAAATCGCAAAAACAAACACAAAAAAAATGAAAAGTTTCAATGTAAATCAGAAAAAAAGATTGCAACAAGTAAAGACGGAAAACCAAGTTAATTCCAGGAAATAGAAGTAGAACGGCTTAGAAGAAGAGCTTAGCTTACGTTCTTGTAACTAATAAATAGAACAGCTAATAAATACAAAATGAGGTCTTAATGAGCAAATGGGGATGCAACCGCTCTGCTGCTGGTGAAAACAGAATATGACTTCACCTCAAACACCTACATTTTAAAAAAGGAATGGCGTCAAATTGAAATGACATTGGGAAGGTGATGCTGACAGAGGATATGGGGTGCATAGAAGACGAAGTAGAAGATGGGAAAAAAATATGAGATATTTTATAACCAAACATTGTTGACTGAGGTTGACAGAGGAATTGAGTGAAACTGTCATATACATTTGATCATGTACTTCTCTTCTTCTTTTTTTTTTCCTTTTCAGAGATGAACTTGAAAGTTATAATTTATCTTTCAAAGAGACAAGCACATACATATATTACATACTTATGTGCATGTGCATGTGTGTAGGATGTGTAAAGAGGTTCTCTTTCCGGATTGCAAACTAAGAATGGTCTATGGCAGCAGATCAGGAGTAGAAAAATAGAAAGGTGTTATCTGAATGTAATAATAATGAATTCTTAGATATATTTGCTGTATTCCTTATTTTCAGCCAAAATATAAGG